GCACACATGTGCCCCCATTGGTCCATAGCACCTCAAGCCCCTGCTCGTGTCTCCTCCTGACTGTGCTTTCGACCTGCTTACAAGCTTGGCTGGTTGGTGGGTCCCCCCCCCCTTTTTCTTTTTCTTTTTTTATTTTCTTTTTCTTTATTTATCTCAAAAATAAGATTATACAAATCATATAAATTCATATAAAATCACATAATTAGCTAAAAATTCACATTAGTCAATTAAAAATCACTTTTCATAGTTTGATATAAATATAAGTCTATTTATCATAATTTAAGGCTAAAATTATATTATTTACTAATTATTAACTCATGATAATGAAGACTTATCAATGATCAACCCATTTCACGGTGACCATTATTCTCAAATGAATGTTTGCTAGATAATTCACATGCATGACATGAGGTCAGTCATGAATGTCTCCGCATTGTTTAACTATTGAACAATCATTAAGTAGCCTTTAAGCTCGCTGATTTTACATTGAAAAATAGAAAAATGTTTGTTATTTGTAAAACATCAAGAATAGAAATACGTCAAGATTTGATTGTGAAAATCAATAGAAAAAAAGTTAAAAATGATCTTAGCTTAATCTAAGACAAGTTTCAAAGGATTCAAAAGAAGAACAAAGATCATTCATCAAGTTTTAAATTAGTTCTACTCATTTTAATTGAAATATATATGAAATAGAGATAACTTGTCATAAAATATAAATAAATAATAAAAGTAGATAAGTAAAGGTTGAAAGTAGGAAAATAAATCATTGGCCAAGTTCAATTTGCCTCTTGGGTAACTAGAGACACTAGTGTGGCGGCTTGGTTTTATCCGGATGTGTCACACCACGTTGAAAGTCTCAAAAATTTTATCCAGAACTATTGTGCTATTGGCCAGAGAGATCCGCCAAAAGGAGGGGTCGGCCATGCTGCCACCGTCATCTAGGGGGAGAAGGGAAGAGTTGACCATTCGTTGGAGGTCTTGAGTGCAGTCAGGGGAGGAAGGAATGAACTTGCCGATTGTTGGAAATGTTAATCTTGCAAGAGGAAAGAACAAATTATCGTATTTGCAAACTACTATCAGGATTTTAAAGATAATCAATAATGTCTCTTTTACATGATAATAAATGATTATTATCTTTTTATTCCTGATAATGATATGTGCAAGAGCTTAAGTTCCTAGTATCATGGCACATTGTGAGCAGTTGGATCAAAATGTGCTTGGTCACGCGGCACGTTGAGCGATGCAAGATCAACCTACCATGAACTACTGTCGATTAGGAACTTAAGTCCTTAAAACCATGGTGACTCCTAAGCCATCAGATCATCCTTTAAGATTACATGCGTCCTGCGTAGCGTCAGATTCACCAACCGTCGATAGATTACTTTACGCATTTGGTGTCATAGCTGCTCGCCCACCACAAGATCTGACTTAGTTGATGATGTGGCTCATTGAACACCACTGGATGACATCGGGCTCCAAACAGCTACCTTGAAACAAGTGAAAAACTTTAGTCTCACATCAAAAATATTTTGGCAACTAAATAGAATATAAATCAAAGCTACGTTCTAGCAAATATCCCCTCTCCTGAAATAAAATAATGTCCAAGACCATCTTGAGAAAAGGTAAAAAAATGGTCCACCCTTGTGCACGCACATGTGTATGACGCTCCTTGCTCCACAACTGATTGGCCACCAAGATGTGGTAGGGGAGTGACACACACATCCACAGAGTTGAGTCCTTTGTCACTCAAGCCCCAGCTCATAGCTCCCCTAGTCTAGGTCTACCCACTCGATTGCAGCACCCTCTAGATCAATTGTCGAGTGCCAGCTTATCATCAAGTAGAATTTTTTTTATTATTATCTTTTATATTTATATTTTAAAAAATCAAAAATTATATTATGTATTTTAACTTTAGACTTATAAAATTAATAATATATCCTATATTATTTTCCAAGTTAATAAAATAATAAAACTAATTAAAACACAAAAATCTAACTTTAACACTTGGCCTAAGATTATGTAGAATTTTCATACAATTGTATGGGTCAATCACTTTAATCAATCTATATTCTCTATTGTTACTATTTTCCTTCAAAAGTTTATTTAGATTTAGTACATTTATCAAAATAAATAGAGACAAGTTTTGCAACTACATGAAAATTGATATCAAAGTATTTTCTAAAAGCTTAATTAAATATATATTATATAATTATAAGCTAGCTGATGATAAGAATATTTGAAAAACTTCTTAAAATATGTGAATTATAATAGTAGTCATGTTGTACTTGTGGATAGAAACATTCCTAATCAATAGTTATAGCAAGCTCATATCAAATAAATGTATGGAATTAAAATTTTATAAAAAAATTAATGACAAGACTTATGTTAATAATTTATGAGAATAAAAGTTTATATGTTTCACATTCATTGTCATGAATATTTATGAGTACCATGTATAGTCACACAAAGATTCAAGCTTGAATTCTTTAAACCAAAGGTTGATGTAGAACGCTATTTAAATAAACTAGATAATTCACAATTAGTAACTCATATTAATGTAGGGGATTACTCTCAAAAAATAGAAGGGCGAAAGTTTTTTGATCCGTGGCCCAAATTTGGTGGGCCAAGTAATTCAGAAGCTTGAAGGAGGGGCTACAGAAATGAGATGACCCATAATAAAAGGTGTGAGTAACTTGTCAAAATTGTTAGTTTAACTTTAACAACTATCTTGGTAGGCCTTTTAAATTTGTTTTCATAACATGTCTTATCGTCTAGGATAGTTACAAGTAATTTGATATTATTTAAAGGCTATCATGTTGTCATTCCAAAGGCATCTTGATTAGTATGAATTTAATCCCTTTATGATGTCTCTTGAATTGTGGATTCAATGGATACTTTTGATCATAGTAGATTCAATGACGTTTTCTAATTCAAGTAGATTCAAGGGTCATCTTACCCATCCTTCTAGATTCAAGGATTGCAGAAAATCATGTCTTGTGGATTATAAGTCTGACTTTCATTATTCTTGTATTTGATATTGATGCCTTGTAGATTCAAAACCCAGATCATCCATTCCCCTCAACTTTTGATATGCCACATATGACCTCAGAACACAAAATAGAGGTTATAAATAGAAAGATCCAAAATGAGATTAAGCCCAATCATGTGAATAACACATTAGATTCTCAACCTTAATAACTATTTTTCTATGAATTTATTTTAAATTTATTTTCTTAAATGATCTGATTTTCTAAGGACATCACAACTAATTTTGCACCTATTTAAATTCTAGCAGAATAGTTATCATTTCGATAATATCATTTTCGTTCTTTTCTAGAGATCTCTACATACTTGTGAATTCAAACAACCTTTGTGGATTCATCAATGGACATTTTGTTGATCCTTGTGGATTTAAGGATCCTTCAAAATCAATCCTTGTAGATTCACAGTCACGTAAATTCAAGGCCTGATTTCTATTCTTTTTCCACTTCTAATTTCTTGCCTTGTAGTTTCCAGACCTTAGTTGTATTATTCTACAGCCTATGTTCGGTCAAAAATTATAGCATACACAATTTTGCAATTCGGCTGTGGCTTCAATGATAGAGAAAAATGAAAGAGGTCTTTGAATAAGACCAGACAGTCAGACCATAGGATGGAAGAGGTCTTTGAATCGATGAAAGATTATAAATACAAATGTTTTAGCAAGCATGTAAGAGAAAAATTATTAAATAAGATTAATAAGAGAACATCATATACGATTATGAAAATAATAATTTAAATTATTGGGTAGCCTCGTAGGGCAAACAATATGACTAAAAAGATATTCTACCTTTTTTTTCTGTTTCTCATTCTTCGAATAATTGAAGCCGGCCTTTATTCTTTTGGATGTGTATTATTTTCTAGGCAGAAGCAACATACTGCTCCCAAATGTACATCTCCACATCTCCTTATTAGAACCAACTGGCTTTCATTGACTTTATTCTAAACTCTCACTCTAAAATGCAGGGCATTTGGATGATCTTTAGTCAGTAAAGGTTGTTTTAAGTAAATTAGGGACTAATGTAATTGCATGGCTTTCCACCTCATACCTTTTTCGCTTTCCAATTATCAAAACAGGAGAAATAGCTGATTTGGACAACCATGTTCCTCTCCTCCATAACCTCAATATTTCTCCAGATATCAGCAGGTGTCTAGATCTGAAAGTAGAACTTGGTGGGACCAGTGGTTCTGAAAGTAGATCTGAAAGGTTCGCTTCATACTAGTGGTTTTTAAGAGATTGAATAACAATAATTTGAATAGCCTTCCCTCAACTTGAGGCATCAAAAAACCTTAAATGTCACTTTGTAACTAAATTTACTACAGCAAGCAAGACATGAAATTAGGGAGGAGAAAGGGTATGAAGTTTCCTATTCATCACAAAGGGGGAGACTAATTCGCAAAGCAGACAAAAATAATTTCTTACCATTTGGGCAGTAGACCTTGAGAAGTTATAACAAAGACAACAAGCATATAGGCTCTGTGATCTACTCCCAAGAGAACGTGTCGTCTCCCACTTACTCAACCATGAAATCCACAAGAGTTCCATTTCAAAAATAAAAGGACAAGAGAGAAGTAATCATCTGGCTTTCCAAATATTAAATCTGTCTCTATTCATTCATGAGAACATAGAGGATTCTTCAAGCTCAATTGGGGAAACTTTGAGAAGAATTTTGCAACGAGGAACTTTTTTCCTTTTCTTCTAAATCCGAGCAACAACAAGACATATTTCAATGACAGCATAGAGCACTCAGGAATGTAAATAAGTATCCTCATATTTATGTCTTATAAGATATTTACAGCAACAAATACATGAGAGATCATTGGAAATGAAGTCAAATGAACCTTCATCACTAAACATGCACTGGACTTTTCAATTGACTGACATGTACACTACGAACAAATCCCAGCATTCTGGCGACTAAACAAACCGCGGTCATGTGGAGTCGCCCCCTTCATCACTGCTACCAGTTCTCCTTCATAATCTTCGACTTCTCAAGTATGAACTTCCCTTCCTTATACTTTTGTGACTCCTCATAAGCTCTTTCATATTTCCAGCCCAATACCTCATGGCAGTTTTGACAGTAGATGTCGGCAACAGTGTGCAGGCCAGTCATGAGCTGCCTATCCTCTTTTGGCCCCACTTCTACGTTCATGGCATGTGAGAACAAGAAGGCCCGACCCTGTCTCCCCTGAAAACAGTGAACAATTATTGGAATTCCAAACTATAATCCACGGGGAATATAAATCTAAGCTGTTCTAGTTAACTGAAATCTTTCTGTCAGGGAACTCTGAGAATCACAGGAATCGATAACTTCTGCGCTTAGAATTTCTTACTCATGTTGTTCTTTCAGCAATCTGCCCATGGGAAACAGGCAGAAAGAAAAAGAAACTCTGAATGAGTTATGACTTGGGATCTTGAACACATCACAGTTCGACGACCCCATGCAGTTCGGGTCATCTGAATCAAACTACACGAATCATAAAACTTTTATACATATCAATCAAGCACAGAGATACACCTGAAAGGCCTTGGAGATGACGTCGTCGTGAAGAGCAACCTGGTTCTGGCAGTTGCAGCAGCTATAGATTCGAGGGCCGACAAGTTCCGCCATCAGAACTCTCAATTCCGGCTGTTCCGCAAAGGCTAGGGCTGGAAAGAAAAGGAAACCCTATCAAATACAAAGCGAGAGATTCAACGGCGCGTGGTGGCCAAAAGCAAAACGCCAAATTATCTCACCAGGAACCCCAAAAATATACAAAACTGGCGATCGGAATCCGACAGACCTTCGTAAAGAACTAACCACTAATGTATGGCCTTCCTTTCTGCCTTCTAACACCTGATAACCGGTCTCCGGTGGGAATTCGGGCGGCGGAAATCAGATTGCAACAAGCAGGGTGAACAAAATCATGGAGGGGTTTTGAGTGGTCGACAACTATAGGAAAGGGGAAACGCAGAATTCGGCCTCGGAGCCAGGGGAGGACCGTTGAATCAGGGAAGCAGGTGAGGAAGGAGAAAGCGCGGCGATGGGAATGTCAATCCGCATCCAGAACAGACGCTGGTCGGCTGATTGCGACGCAGTCGTATCTGCAGAGGAAGGACGAAGAGGAAAACAACACCCCCCCCCTCATTAACTAGCCGCCGAATTCTCCTGAATAATCGAGAACCTCTTATACCTCAAATAATGGTTTTTTTATTTTGATAAATAAATAAATATTTCCCTCGATAAAGCCTTATATTTTTTCATTTTATTTGACTATTTTATTTAATGATAATTAATATTTGGAATGCCCATTCATTTTCTATCATAGTGAATAAGGACCTAAATGGGCGTTCCTGTGAGCCGGCTTTAGCCCGAAGGCCCAATGGGCTTATTAACAAATAATTAAATTATATTTGGTATCAAATCGTTAATATAGTGATAGAATAACCGACGAATATCCATCGCAATACTTAATGCCAGCCTGGCGGGGCCATTTACATAACTTTAAAAAACCAGAGGGTATATAATGAATCTAAAGAATCGTTTTCAGATAAGTCCACGTGTACGGACATCACCGTTGATTCCTTTTTGTCTCTCTTATCTCATTTGTCGTCGTTTATCGGATCCAGGATCCCCATTATTGGATCCGGGATTTTAAGCGGCATAACGGTCGTAGCCTTTTCGTCAGCATCAGGACGGTTTCTCGGGGAGACTCGGGGGATCGTCGTCCACAGGGACCGTCTCTCCTGCCGTGGTGGCCTCGTCTTCCCCAAGTCGAGAAGGGGACAGAAGCTCTTCCTCTCCTCGGATGGGAGGACTCCTCTGAAGATGGATTCTTCTCCTCGTCATGGCGCCGTCCGCGAACCCCTACTGCAGCGTGCGTACCCCACTATGCTCCCTATTCCTCAGTTCTTCCCCTCTGCTGCTTGCTATGGCGGAGGGATTTTTACAGACTTGTGCTGCTGCTGGTTTTGGTGGTTAAAGAGGATGTGAATTAGGGTTTTCCATGGTCGTAGGGTCACCGGAGGTTGTGGAGGAAGGCTTTACTTCATCCGCATTTGAGGAGAATTCCCCAATCGAGCAGGTGGCCCTGACGGTGCCGGTCACCGATGACCCCGCCCTCCCCGTGGTCACCTTCAGGGTGTGGACCCTGGGGACGCTCTCCTGCGCGCTGCTGTCCTTCCTCAACCAGTTCTTCTGGTACCGACGGGAGCCGCTCTCCATCTCGGCGATCGCCGCTCAGATCGCCGTGGTGCCGCTGGGCCACCTCATGGCGAGGGTCCTCCCCGACCGCGTCTTCTTCAAGGGGAGGCGATGGGGAGAATTCACACTGAATCCGGGGCCGTTCAACGTCAAGGAGCACGTCCTCATCACCATCTTCGCCAACTCCGGCGCCGGCAGCGTCTACGCAATCCACATCGTCTCCGCAATCAGGATCTTCTACCGGAAGAACCTCACCTTCTTCGTCTCCCTGATCGTAGTCTTAACGACGCAGGTGAATCGTTGACGGTCTCAGATCCCCTTTTTCACTTCAGCCGAAATCGAATAACATTTGCCCTGTTTCTGGGGGGGTTTGAATGCAGGTGTTGGGGTACGGATGGGCGGGAATATTCCGGCGGTATCTGGTGGATCCGGCGGCGATGTGGTGGCCGTTCAACCTTGTCCAGGTCTCCCTCTTCAGGTAGGAACGATACATCACACTCCGAACCTCCTCACTGCACAGTCTTCTCCATCCTCACCCCCCGTTTTACAGAGCTCTCCACGAGAAGGAGGAGAGGCCGAGGGGAGCCGTGACCAGGAACCAGTTCTTCCTGATCGCCTTCGTCTGCAGCTTCGCCTACTACGTCTTCCCCGGCTATCTCTTCCACATGCTGACCTCCATCTCTTGGCTCTGCTGGGTTTTCCCGAGCTCCGTCATGGCGCAGCAGGTGGGGTCAGGGCTGCACGGCCTTGGAATCGGCGCCGTCGGCCTGGACTGGTCCACCGTCTCCGCCTACCTCGGCAGCCCTCTCGCCAGCCCCTGGTTCGCATCGGCGAACGTCGCCGCCGGATTCGTACTCCTCGTATACATCATCACCCCCATTTCTTACTGGAACGACCTGTACAACGCGAAGACCTTCCCCATCTTCTCCGACGGGCTGTTCACCTCCTCCGGCAAACCCTACAACATCTCCAGCATCATAGATGCCAATTTCCAACTAGACATCGAGGAGTACAGAAAGAACGGCCCTCTCCGTCTTAGCACCTTCTTCGCCATGAGCTACGGCATCGGCTTTGCATCTCTTTCATCCACTGTCGTCCATGTGGTGCTATTTCATGGAAGGCAAGTCTCTCAGTCAGATCCAGATTCAAGCAATGGAAGTCAGCTGTTTCCTCTTTCAATTCAAACCCCAAATGAATCTGATAGAAACTCTACAATCATGCAGCGAGATATGGGAGAGGAGCAAATCAGTCTTCAGAGACAGAGAAATGGACATCCACACCAGACTGATGAGAAGGTACAAGCAGGTTCCGGAGTGGTGGTTCATCTGCATCCTGGTGGTAACGGTCGCCCTCACCATCTTCTCCTGCGAATACTACATCGATCAGCTCCAGTTGCCGTGGTGGGGAGTCCTGCTGGCCTGCTCCGTTGCCATCTTCTTCACCCTCCCCATCGGCATCCTCGCAGCGACGACAAACCAGGTGGGTTACACCCTCCCCCCATCTGTCTGCCCGACTTAGAAAAACGCCATTAATGCCGTTTTCTTCACTCTGGCAGACTCCAGGACTGAACATCATTACAGAGTACATCATGGGCTACCTGTACCCCGGACGCCCCGTGGCCAACATGTGCTTCAAGGTGTATGGATTCATCAGCATGAAGCAGGCGCTGAAATTTCTTCAGGACTTCAAGCTCGGGCATTACATGAAGATTCCTCCGAGGGCCATGTTCATGACCCAGGTCTATTTCTTCTTATTCTTATTCCTCTTCTTCTTCTACTACTACTACTACTACCACATCATTATCATCTTATTCTTCTACTACTATTATTATATAGTCGTCATTCTTTTTGCTCTTCTCCTTCTACTATTATTACTGTTTAATCATCATCATCATTTTTTTTGCTCTTCTACTATTATTACTAATACTACTATTATTAATAATACTATATCATTATCATCTTCTTGTTCTTCGTCTACTACTATTATTACTATATTATTTTCTTCTTCCACCACTATTACTACTATTATTAGCAGTACTATATTATTATCATCATCTTCTTCTATTACTACTAGTAGTATTATTAATACTATATCATCATCTTCTTCTTCTTACTGAGAGTGCCCATTATGGTTGTGATTGGGCAGGTCGTGGGGACCCTGCTGTCGGTTGCGGCGCACCTGGGGACGGCGTGGTGGCTAATGGAGACCGTCCCCAGCATCTGCGACAGGACGGAGCTGCCACCAGACAGCCCCTGGACCTGCCCCGGCGACCACGTCTTCTACGACGCCTCCGTCGTGTGGGGCCTGGTGGGCCCCCGCCGGATCTTCGGCGACCTCGGCCCTTACTCCGCCATCAACTGGTTCTTCCTCATCGGCGCCGCCGCCCCTCTCCTCGTCTGGCTCGCCCATAAAGCCTTCCCCGAGCGGCGCTGGATACGCCTCATCATCTCCCCCGTCGTGATCGGCGGCATGGTGGACATGCCGCCGGCGACCGCCGTCAATTACACCACCTGGGTCCTCGTGGGCTTCCTCTTCGGCTTCGTCATCTACAGGCGCCGCCGCGAGTGGTGGCGCCGCCATAACTACCTTCTCTCCGGCGCGCTGGACGCCGGCTTATCGTTCATGGCGGTCCTCCTCTACGCCTGCCTGGAGATTAAGGGCACCAAGATCTCCTGGTGGGGGAACCGCCCCGACGGCTGTCCGCTCGCCTCCTGCCCCACCGCCAAAGGTATGGTCCACGACCACTGCCCCATTTCATGACCAACCTCCTCCTCTTCAGGATTTGTAGATCCACCAACAAGAACAGGAAAAAAAAAAAGCTCGATTATTCACGATTTTCTTATTTCATTCATTAGTATGTAATCTACTGTGCATTAATGACTATCGTGAATCCAAAGTTGTTTTCTTTAATTATATAAGAATTGTTCCGGTGCAAAATCCATCAATGGAGAACCAGAGATGCTTCTTCCACCTGACCACGGAGATTGTGGCCGAACTGCTGATCGGAGAAATCAATCCGGTGGCGGAATGAGATGATGCATTGGAGTGGCCCTCAGCCGCAGAGGGAATGGAAGAGAAGCGCGAGCAGCGCCGAGGCGGCGGCCATGGCGATCCCGGAGGCCGGCGGCGGCGGCGATGACGACGGCGGGGTCGGGCCGAAGACGTTGGGGTACGCGGTGGAAGTGCCGGGGAGCGCCCCCGCGGGGGAGTCCGCCGTCGCTGACGACGTGCTGTTGCCGCCGCCAATTGAGATGCGAAGCCGCTGGTTCTTCTCACAGCGGCCAACGACGCCGCTGGTGAAGTAGAACTCCCCGGCGGACGTGATGTTGAAGAGGGAGTTGCCGTCGTCCATCTTGAGGATGGGGTCCTCGATGCTGCAGCTCTCGAAGGCCAGCGCCGTCACCTGGACGACGGCGTCCTGGCTCGGCGGGTAGAGGAACACTGGAAGCGGGTCCACAGATCAGATCTACGAAAGGAGTATTCCAGCAAACCTACTAACCCTAACACCAACCCCAACCCGAATCCGGGGAAGAAGAAGGGGGAGGGGAGGTTACTCAGGGAGTCGCCCATCTGGAAGCTGCGGGTCTGAGACCAGATGGAGTAGACGTCGGGTTTGCTGGACGGAGGAATCCCCCAGGCGTCGAGATCCCCGACCTTGTGCTGCAAGGCGGCCGCCACATTGCCGCCGTGAGGCGCAAGGAGCACGGCGGCGCAGAGGAAGAGGAAGCCGGTGATGTGCAGCGGCTGCCGTCGGCGATGGCGTTCGTCGTAAGGCTCCTCCATCTTTCTTCACCTCCTCCTGCTCCTCTCTTGATCAGTTGAAGTCCGCGGTTCTTCCGCTTCTCTCTCTCTCTCGCTCGTTCTCTCTCTGGCTCCCCGGAGAACCGGGAAAACCAGATGAGGAAGATGAGGAGAGAGGAAGAGGAAGAGAGTGAGGCTGACGGTGAAGAACCGACAGGGCTAAGTGGGCACGGTGGACTCTTCACGTGATTACAGCTGGGTACCTAAGCCATCTCGCATGTCACGTGGGAGGCGCTATGTTCACGTGTCAGGACAGCTGGGTTCGGTCACCCTTTTTTACTATACCGGCTAAATAAATTTTATTTATTTCAATATTTTAAATTTTATTTAAGGACCGGGATCGCCGTCACTCAGACCACAAGTTTCCGTACGTAATATATTTATTTAAAAATTAAAATATAATTTAAATGTTTACAGCAAGATGGATAGAGAGCCAACGGAATATGTAATTTAATCTCGAAAAATATATGAAATTGATCAACATTTTATTTATGGTCAAATTACGCATAATAAGTATACGAGATGAGTCGGTGATGGTCGTGGACCATAATGGACAACTATTCCTTGATATTTGGGCCCAAGACAGAGGTAACGGGCCGGGCTGGACAAGAGTTCGGGACCGACCGGCCCACTTACGCCAAGCATAAAATAAATAAATAAATATGAATATTTAATTTGCGGTTCCTTGGACAATCATCCGACCGAATCACGTGCGAAGTACTACAGAAGGGCCATCACGCACGTGCCTCCCGTGTTGCCCTCTCTTTTCCGCTTCCCCCCTTCCCCTTCTCTCCTCCGCCGTCTTCTTCCCCACCTCTCCCCCCTTTGGCGGCGGGCTCGAACTCGGGGTCCTCTTCCTCCTCCTCCAGCCCGAAGGGAGAGAGAGAGAGGGACACAGAGAGCGAGAGGAGTTGGGGGAAGAAGCGATGGCGGCTGCCGGCAGCTGGACCGCGGACAAGGATGGCAGCCGGGAATCTGAGGCTGGGGGCGGCGTCCGGCAGTACAATCCCTACAAGGATCTCCAGATTCCATACCAGACCATCTACAACCTGCCGACCTCTCCCGAGTTTCTGTTCCAGGAGGAGTCGATCGCTCAGCGCCGATCATGGGGAGAGAACCTGACGTACTACACGGGGTGCGGGTACCTCGTGGGGTCCGTCGGCGGTGCCTCGAAGGGTCTATTTGAGGCCGTACGTGCAGCGGAGGGGGGGGACACGCTCAAGCTCCGGGTCAACAGGATCCTCAACACGTCGGGCCAGACAGGGAGGCGGATCGGCAACCGCCTTGGGGTTATCGGCCTGATGTACGCCGGGCTGGAGAGCGGTATGGTGCTGACGAGGGACACAGATGACTGGGTGAACAGCGTCGTGGCGGGGCTCGGAACTGGAGCTCTATTCAAGGCTGCGTCAGGTCCGCGGTCGGCTGCGGTAGCAGGAGCTCTCGGCGGGTTGATGGTTGGCGCCGCCGTGGCGGCCAAACAGGTGGCGAAGAGATATGTTCCTATCTAGGGTTTCAGGAAAAAAAATTCTACCTGTGCTTCTCATTTTACGCGCCTTTTCATATCAATCACATATAAGGGAGCAAGTGTGGTGTGTGTGCTACAGTTTTTCGAGTCTGCTAACAGGTAAAGATGAGGATTTGCGGATTCTCAAATAATCACAGAAGTCAAACGATTGAACAGTGTTTCTTCCTCTACTATATGTACCTGTGTCCAGGCGAGGTGTGACAGTTTTGGCCCATTGTCGTCACATATTTCCTATTATTGCCAGTCTTTTTGGCTCTTTGGCGTTACATCTTTCGTTTTTTTTACATTTTCCCTTCTTCTAGGCTTTGTTATGTTCATGAGATGCTCGTATATTGGATGGCGCTTATTCTTTTGCATCTCCCTTTCTAGTTTTCTAGCGGCGATTAAGACCCAGCTCAGACTTTAATTGAATTAAGAGGATCTATAGTCTGCAGCTGAGCTGGTGCCTGTAGATGTTCCAAAATGTGGCATGCTCTGTATTTTTATTGCTTCAGAAGATGACCCAAAAAAAAATGACAAGTTCACTTGTGTCATTTCTTTTTACTAATCAATCTTTGTGCATTGCCTTTATTATTTATTTATTTTGGGTTTTTCTCCTGTGCTCTCTCGTATTGATCTTCCCCATTAGTAGTTGAGGTGGGTTAAGTTCATAGCTAGCTGTGGTGAAAGGGGCAACAGGAGAAATAATGAGCATTAATATCTATCTTGCAATCATATGTGGAGCGAAAGGAGGTTCTCGCTACGTGTGATTAGCAGTTAATGACTATTAGTGCTTTCAGGAAAAAATTGTATTTTTGGCATATGCTCAAAGAGACAGGCATCGTCATTGATGCGCATTGTACACCTAGTTCACCTTGGGCAAATTTTAGAGAGACGCATGCAGTCTAAAGTTCCTTAGTTCTTGTTCTGCATGGACCCAATAGAGCTTCACCTGCTTTCATTCGAGATGCGCTTTGACTCCAATAATGTTAGATTGCAACTCTAAACCTTTATAGCATAGCTGAGGGCATCATTGGGCTGGCGTTTTCAGGCCTGGATGGGTGGAATTGAATCATCCATAGCCTTTGAATGATTCAATTGAATTGGATTCAAGTGAAACAATCAACCCATCAAGGATGTGTTATCGGGATTGCATGGAAGGAGATTGGAAGATTAGACAGCACAGCAAAAGCAATCAAAAGTTTTGTTCCTCATCAAGTTAGACCTCTTCATACCCCATTTAGGTCACATGTGGATGCTCCTGAAACAAGAATGAACAACACAAGCAACCAAATAAGTTTTGTTGATGCGGTGTGGGAATTTTAGATTAGGTCATGAACTAGGCCATTGGTTGAAAAACTTTGGATAGGATGTCAATAGTTCAAGGTGTTTCTCACTTAGGATCAACAGAGGAAGAGTAGGGGATAGAGAGAGGTATATGTAGAGAGAGAGAGAGAGAGAGAGAGAGAGAGATGGAACACTTGTTCATCATAATCTCTGATTGGACTGCGTATTGGAAGTAGGATCCTTCTTAATTTCTTATGCCCCTACCCTACCAACCACTTTGGGCTAGTTCCAGACCAGCTCAGGTTGTTCAGATCCTTTGAGCTTACAAGCGCCTGGCACATGAACTTCTAACCTAGTCAGAGGGAACTGAGTATAGAGAAGGAAACAGAGCTATGCTGCTTGAGCGGGTTAAGCCATTTATGAGAGAGGATAGGATTAGCAGATGGAACTTGGATAAGAAATGTTTGGTGGATGTGAGTGAGTAAAGGAGGGAGGTTACTGAACTCATAAAGTCCATATTTGTTGAGGGAAGATACTCATAACGTGCTTTCATGAGATGGTAAGCTGACTCGTTGACCTTCACTGTTATGGGGGAGCTGCGGTCAGCTCTTAGATCAGACTTGTTGGTACTTAACTTTTTTGGGTTTTTAAAGCAACATATATAAATGGAATTTATCATGGAAACGACGACTTCAGCAACAGCAATGCTTGGGAATATGTCAGTGAGTTGCACAATCTATATCTTATTTTTTTTAGAAAAAGTCAACTGTCGTGAATTTTACTGCAGGTTGTGGAATCCTGGGGGAATTTTCTGCTAGAGAAGGTGGGTCCTACCGTCTGAGGGAGGAGTAGAGATATGCAAGATCCCTCGTCTGTCAGCTTTTCTCAAAGGGTTGTCATGAAATCATCAAATCTAATGTTGGGATTTTATAAACGTCTGAGTGGACTGATTGGTAGAAATCGAGGAGAACTTCTTTTCAAGTCAACGGCAACCTTAACCATGAGTCTCATTGCAGGATATTACAGACTTCTAGGAAGACCCCCCGATTGAAGGGAACTTCACCAGTTTGGTCTTGACTGCAGTACGAGAAGGTGCAATTTCATCCATAGATGGATTATATCATCTGCAAGTGAAGGAAAGAAAGGGCAGCTGATGATCCCCGATCATTAGGGTTTAGCCCCTGATGTGTTCATACGGGGGGGTTAGCCGATGGGTTTCCTTAAAGAGTTTGAGGGCCCTGCAAAGGGGACGTTGGAGAAGCGTTGACATTCACCTTTTTTTTAATTTTCTCTGGGGTTCTTTTATCAGGTCGGGTCTATTTTCCTACTATTTTATCAATCATTCCTCTTATGGGAAAGGTAGCCTTTGACTTGGCTCATATTGGGCTCCATTTTTCCATTATTTAGGACAATAGCTCATATTGGGCTCTCTCTCTCTCTCTCTCTCTCTCTCTCTCTCTCTCTCTCTACATACGCATGGAGTCAGCCACTTTAATGGAGTCAGTCCGAAGATGCTTGTTTTGATCCGGAGATCCCGGTGGAGGAAAGAACCTCTCTTTCCCTCTGCAACGAGTCCACCCGCTCCAACATGGTTGACCCAAAAGAATCCACCCGTTCAATTAATAAAATACCGAGAGGACGAATCGTCCTACACCGAGGAGGACGGGCTAATAAATACAGAATATTTGTGCAGCTCCAGGCGGTCCACTCCTAAAAAGGGGAACGTAAGGGCACGAGACAAAATTCTCAGCGACCCCCGAACAGAGATCAGAGAAATCCAGAAACCCTAGTTGACTTTGCGTCGGAGAAGAAGGGGAGCGGATCAAGGGTCGTCCGATTCTGGCGGCGGGTTGGCGGCGGTGTTGTTGCTGTTGACAATGCGAGACATGAGCTTGTAGATCTCCGAGAAAGTGTTCTGCGCCAAGTGACTCTCGTCCTCGCCGTTCCTCGACAGCGAAGAAGGGGACCCAAACTGGTAGTCGCCCGTCGCCGCCTTAATTCTCTTGGACGCTAAGAGGGCATTCTCTAGATCTGTCTGCAACAGCGCCCTCGGGATCTACAAGCATAGATAGATAGATAGATAGAGAGAGAGAGAGAGAGAGAGAGAGAGAGAGATGATTAGGTTTGGAGTTAACTCAGCTATGTGACTATGTACTTAAGAAAAAAAGAGTCTAAGTTATTAATCTTCGATCATACCATATTGAAAGAACACAGAGAGAGAAAGAGAGAGAGAGAGAGAGAGAGAGAGAGAGAGAGAGAGAGAGAGGATTAGATCCGGAGTTGATAATACTATTATGAGTAACTAATTAAAGAAATAATAGTTCAGGTGATCAATCTTCAACCACAACACTGAAAGAACACGAACTTATGATGGTAGAGATAATTATAGATACTTAAAAAATAATAATTATGAAGACCTGTAAGAAGTCCCTGAAGTGTAGAGTGCTCTAAGAAGTGAAGATTATCCAAAAATAGCTAGTCACCACACGTGGACAAAAATGGTATTTTTCCTCTCCACAGATTAATTGCCAACCTCAGAATTACTTGGGCATGGCAACAATGGATACTGATCCCAAGTATAATCACAGAAGAGCCCTCTAGAAATAGAATCTAGAGAGAGAAAGTAAAGATTATCTTGCCGTCAAGATGACAATCGACTCTACTCAGGAGAGAGGCTCAAACGATCGGCCCTCGCCTACTAATCGGATTATATCTTTAGGCAATACAAAAATAGGCGATATAATCGAACTCAATCATGGAAAAAAAGGTTTCCTAGGTTTTGTGGCTCCAAGTTCAAATTGTCAAGCAGTTCTTTGCAGATTCAGACATTTTGAAAATGGTAGCAGAACCATGAGTTATATGACTACAAAAACGGTAAGTAGATATTGAATGCTATTGCAGCCTCATGAACAATCTCTTTGAAGGGAATACGCAAGAATTTCGTGAGAAATGCGATGAATTTATCAACATCCTCTAGACAGTAATCGACCCCTTCACAACTCCAAGTGAATTCCGCAAAGAAATGTTTCCAAAACCAAGTACAGTAAAGCTGAAATAAAATATGTTAATGAAAAAGAGGAAGGTAAACTCACAGGGGACTTTTTCCCTTGTCTTTCTTCTTGCAATAAGTCCCTGAGAGGGAAATAAGCAGCTTGCTTGCAGAGTTCAAACAGGTCTGATCCAGTGAACCCTTCACACAGGCTGGCTATATAATCATAATCAAGGTCTTCTTCTACTCTTTCCCCTTTCAAAATCACCTTCAGTATCTTAATCCTCTCAGTCTGGTCAGGGATTCCGATTTCAAAAGCTTGAGGGAGACGCCTAAGTATTGCCTCGTCCAGCTCAGATGGACGGTTTGTAGCAGCTAAGACCATTACGCGGGCATTTTCTGCATAAACCACAAGAAGAGAGCCCAAAGTTATTTATTCTACATGAACTTCCACATGGAAGCTAGAACGCAGCCCCCCCACCTGACATGGATAACATAAACACACTTGTGCTTAGCAAAATAGATGAGCTACCATAGTGAGAATTCAATAAGATAAATATAACATAGGGCAACAAAATGATAAAAATAACACTTTTGACCCTTTATCTCGATAAGGACCCTTTCGTTACCAACAATAAAACACGATAGAGAGAGATTCTGAAAGTAAGGATCCACTGAAAACCCAATTGTTTTCATTTTCGAATCCAAGAAAAGAAAAACCCAATTGCGGAAAATTGTTTATATTTCTTTAAGACAGCAAACTTACTGGCTAGCATGTTGGAAAATTCAATCGCGGATAATTGATTAGCCAGAAAATTGAAAGTGCAAGAGAAACTGTACTGACACTTGTTGACATCAGATCAACCGACAAATGGAAGAGTAAATGAGGGATTGGTTGGCATGTTAAGAATTGATAACAATCACCTGTTACAAGTCATGACAGTTATCAATCAACTTGACCATTTTTTCCTTCCATGTTTCTCTGATATTACCTATGCAGTTCTAATTCATCCCAAATTATGCATGACTGCCCTCAGAGCAGCGTTAATAATCTCCCTCCCTCCCTCTCTCAAGCGAAAATATCAGATGAAACTGGCAGACCACAAGATAGATTCGAATGCTGTATGACACCAACTGAAGATGACACAAGTAGAGCCCAAAAAATGATTTGCAGGCCAAGAGATACAACAATGCTTTGAAGCCATAAAAGCATAAGAAGAATGCAAGAGATAATGACAGGTGATATTTCAAATACTTACGGTCAGTGGTAAATCCATCCCACAATGACATAAATTCTGTTTTCATGTTAGTCATGGCTTCATGATCCGTAGTACGCCGCTGACCCAAGAAACTATCAACTTCATCAATAAATATGATAGCAGGCTGGAGTTTGTAGGCCAAGGTAAAGACAGCTGTCACTGCAAACGTCCAGAAAAAAAAAAACAATCACATATCAAGAACTGACGAGGCCAGCCTAACTCACAAAGTTGGACTACTAACTGAAAATATAGATAAACGAAATATCATACAAAATGTAAATTTATCATTCAGCTGCTAATTAAAAATTTGAAGGATGTTCATGCTAAACCAAAAGGGAGCACAAAAGCACACATCATTCCATTCGTGCCACTAGCTATATATAAAAATCCGAAAATGCCTTTCAGCAGGCTGTCAATGCAGGCCTAAACTCCCAAATCAGGCCATAAGCTTGGCAGAGACAGACTAGGACTAAGCAATCACAAGCGGTTGGCAGGCACAGAAGATAGATAATGATAAAGAAAATACAAGAAATTAAAAATAAATAAAATAATATTCAAATAGAAAAATAGAAGAACGGAAGATATATCTTTAATGGATTGTGCCATGTGCATGTTGCAAGAGCAAGAAAACTTGCGATGTAATGAATACACAATTAAAAGAGATGAGGGAAACCGATTAGTCAACTGGAAATAATCAAAATGATCCCATGACTGCATACTCATTGCAACCAAAAGCTGCATCCAGAAATTTTGATATACAAAAAAGGTGATTGTAATACACATTCCAATGCATAAATCAATAACAGAAGCTGGGTAAACAGTTTCTCCATACCAAGTTTCTGTGCGTCTCCAAACCATTTACTCATCAAATTAGATACCCTCACATTGATAAAAACTGCTCCTGATTCTTTTGCAATGGCTTTGGCAAGCATTGTCTTTCCCGTCCCAGGTGGTCCATACAGTAACACACCCTTTTGAGGACTAAGAAGTTTCCCATGTGCAAAGAGCTCAGGTCTCCGCAAAGGAAGGATAACCAATTCATATAGCGAACGCTTAATGCCATCCAAACCTCCAATAGAGTCAAACTCCACATCGATATGGTCAGGATTTATAACATCACATGCGATTACATCCTACACATTACATAAATCGTTAGAAAAAAAATGAAAGCACATAAATGCTTAACAGTACTGAGTAAAGCTTGAAGAAAGAAAGTTCCCAAGTTGAATGCACCCAAAAAGCAAAAAAAAAAAAAAACACAAAGATCAATGCAAAACTGTGAGCATACTCCCAGAGAATAAATAACACATATTCAGCAGGGCAAACCAAAAGAATAAGTTTCAAAAGTTCATGCAAGCAAACGAAAGAAAACAGCCCAAGCAGTAGGCATGGGTGAAAAAAAAAAAACTTTTCAATTGCGTGGTGTAATTACAAGAAAACTTTCAACTGTTTTCCTGGCTTGCGTTGCTTCAAAATGACTCATTTACGTTTCCCACAATCAAGGAACTGAGCTTAAAGTCAATAGTGAGAAATCCATCAAGATCTGAGCTGAAACATTGGATTGATATGGAGAAGAAGAAATTGAATAGCTAACAATGTATTTTACAAGGAGTTAACTTAGCCGATAACTAGTGATTTTTACTTTTATAGCATGCTGGGCAGACTGAAATGAGGATATAGAACCATAAGATTGAACAATAACTTTCTCTCTTTATTTGTAATAGCATCGAAGAGGCTGCAGGCCACATGTTGGCCAGACATGATTTCACCTTTAAGTCTTTCCAGCAGAGGTTTTTATTATCCAAGAACCCTACATGAAATTGGCCACCATGGAGAATGTCACGGAAATAATTTCTTGTTCATTAAATCCTTTCTCTGAAGGGTTACATAAAAGACAAGCGTGGGAAGATGATGACGATTTGATAGAAAGACAAGGGATGGAGAAATAATAAATTAGATTGAGTAGCCTCTGATTTGATTGTGTAAACACTTCGTGAACTTTATATCACGAGGAAGAGAAGGAAATGAATCAATTGTCGTCGCTTCTAATGGCAGATTAAGCCATGATCTTCAGCACGATTGGCATAAGCTGGCGGTAGGCATGGAGAAATCGGGTGGGCAAGTTGACAACTCAAAAGGGACTGAGTAGTGTGGGTCATTTGTAAGGAATGAAAAATCGCATCTTTAGGGATGATAGCCGCGCTGTGGATAGAGCTCTTTTTATCATTGCTGTAAGGGTGAAAGAGTGAACAGGGATGCTTCATAATGAGGAGGAAGATGAATCCTCCACTTTGAAAGCTCAAGGTACAGAGCGGCATACGACGTCTATGTGTATAGTTTACTTGGGCAGGGGGAGTTCTGTTTTTTTGAAATAAAGTTCATTGAATATTCCGGTTCTTATTTTCCAGTTCTTATTTTTCATACTTGACGACTATGTGACAGTATCCACTTCCAAATAAGGAAAAGTTTAAAACGAACCATTTCAAGGGCAGAACAACGCAATATTTTGACAGACGATGTGTGAATATCGCATGGTCACCCGAAATAAAGGATAACAGACGAAAAAAGCTCGATTGAAAGGGAAAGGGAAGGTACTTTTTCTTGTACGGAGAACCCCTCAAAGGCATGTGAAGCTAATTGAAAGCGGTAAATGAAGGAGCAAACAATCATGAAACCATGAAGTCCTCACAAGGGATAACACATATCGAATGTTGGAGAGAGCTCTAAAACAACTTCATGCTAGGCAAAAAAAGAAAGATTTAATCACAATTCGTTGTGAGAGCAATCGGAGAGGACCGCAGGCAAGCACTACGTGATAGATACCTCGTATTGGTTGGTCTGGATCAAGGGGCGGCCAAGGCGCTTGGCTATCTCCTTCTTGTGCTCGAGGGCCTTCTTGCTGGCCGCCCTGTTGGGGTCCAGTTGCCGAAGCCCGACGAACAGCACCAGACAACTCAGCGCGGCGCTCGCGCAGTATAGCAGAAGCTCCTGCACCACCTTCGTCGAGTCCGACGACGCTCCCATGGCCCCCCCCTCCCTCTCCAAACGCAGCGAGAAGCAAACAGGGACGAGAGAGAGAGAGAGAGAGAGAGAGATTACTTCACGAAGGCGGTTCCCCTTTTATTTCCTCTTTCCTCGTCGTTGTTAACTCGTGTGAATGACACGAGTTTTTCCCACGTGTGAAAACAAGGCGAGCCCTTCTCCATGATAGCTCGGCCCTGTTATACAAAAAATATATAAATTAGCTAAAACAACGTAAAAATCCTTTTAAGAAATTCCCTCCGTCTCGTAATATGGCTGCTATTAAATATTTTTCCTCATTAAATATCTCTTAGGAAGCAAATATTACTTAAATTATTATTAATTATTTTCTTGCATACCTAAAATTTCATTATGCTAACTAAATTAGCGTAAATATATATTCCTAAGGAATTATTAAAAATAATTATGAACGTATACTTTAAAAAATGGTATCATATCTTCAAAACCGCTCTACTAACTTGATGCCGAGTATTAATTAAGATATAGAAAAATTAATAACAATATACCTTTTAAAAAGTAATTTTGGCTTGTAAACTAACTTTTGGTAATATTTTCATAATTTTCAGTCTTCAAAATTGTTTACATTAGAACTGAATATCTTCAATTCCATTTAATTAGACTTGTGAAAAATCTTACTAATTATGTGTATTTACACACTTATCTGCGTATACAAAATTTAAACAAGAATAATTAAAATATTTTCCTGATTAAATATCTCTAATGAAGTCAAATTTTACTTCAATTATAATTTAGTATTTTTGGAAACCTGAACTTTCATTATAAAAACTAAAATTAGCGTAAATATATATATATATATATATTAAAAATTGTATTGTATCTATAAAACCACTCCACTACCCTAACAACTAATACTAATTAAGATATAACAAAATAGGTAGTAAAATTCCTTTAAAAAAATTAATGTTGGCTTGTAAACTACCTTTTGGTAATATTTTCCTAATTTGAATATCTCACTCTAATTAATTTCCATTTAATTAAACTCATAAAAATAGACAAATTATGTTTATTAGTCACTATATACATATAAATAATTTAGATAAGAATAAATCAAGCAGTTCCAATATTATGACATTAATTGCATATCCTTGATCACATAAGATTGTATCATGTGTGGTCCTTGTTGTAATTTTCTAGTAATTTAACACACTTTTGCTGTTATGGGGGTACAACCTTAATCACTATAAACCTTGACATTCTTCAAATAAACAAAGTATTTCTACCTAAATTCGTCATTTATCTTTAAATGATGATTTTCCTTTGTATTTTTTATATTTTAATACCAAATTAGCGAACTTAATCACGAATTTTCAGATTTCAGATATTGTTGATCATATATTTTTTAAAATAATATATTGTTTTGCACAATTTATGGCCTTTTATTCGTAGCCACAAGGGTTCTATATTTTTGGTATATTATATTACAATTATATAGCGTAAGGTGGATATCTTCCACCATGATATTGTAAATTACCAGCTTTAATTAATATAAAAATATAATATAATTTTAAATCAATATAAATTCAGTCTTTTTTCTGTGAAGTCGCCAACCAGGATGGCCCACAGGTAGTTTAAGAACACTGAAGGGACCCGCCCGGGTCCAGTGAAGGCCGACGGACGGCTGTAAGATAACGGCGTACGACTGTTAGCTAGCGCGGTATTTTTGAACAACATTACCCCGTCAGATAACGGCGTACGGCGTGAAGATATGCCGTAAGATGTTGGGGATCTACGCGTACGGCTACGGATCTTCCTCAGACCGAAGACGGGACGCGGCCAGGCGTCGCCACCTGGCCTGTCCAGTTCATCAATGGCCGGGGAGGAGGCCTAATCCAGTCCACGAGTCGACGCATCCGCGCCCCGTTGAATTGTGGAAAGCTCCCTGCTCGAGGATACATTCGACAGAACCTTCGTCCACAGGGGTTAATTGCACATGGAGGCCCTATTCAGGAGTTGATCGCGTATGATCGGACAGGGACTTTTATCTAATTTTCTCAGTTCGACCCGTCAGTACTGAAGGGTAGTTTTTTATGGGAATATTCCTAATTTAGTAGCATTATTGACGAGTCATGGGGCCAACCAAGGTACATATAAAATAAAATATATAACGAGGGTATTGAACAAGTTATCTGATGATTTTATTTAATTAATTTCCATTTTATCGCCGAACCGAGATCCCTGACGCTAGATCCACCGTCTCACTGTCGCACGTGCTGCCGATCAATCAACGGAGAGCTCCTCGCCACGTCACCAGCCGTCTCTTCTCTCCTCCCCCATCTCGGCTGTCCCAGCCCCGATTTCACCTCTGTCTCTGTCTCTCTCTCCCCAACGCCCGCTTGTTGAAGCGGGGTTCCTCCTTCCACTCTCTCAGGTGCCGCCGCCGCCGCTGGGTTCCTCCCACTCTCTCAGGTGCCGCCGCCGCTTTCCGGGGAGGTCAACGGGCGGGGGAGAAGATATAGCTGACGCAGCTGCTCGTGGGATTAAATCCGTAATAAATTATTCGGATTTGAAGGTTGCTACAAAGGAGTAGGATAAAAGGAGAAGGGAAGCAGCTGCGGATGTTGGAGTAGCTTTGTATCTTGAAAATAGGGAGGAGGAGGAGGAGGAGAGGCGGAGGAGTTGCGGTTGGGGGATTGGAATTGCGGAGTGTGGAGTTGAAGGAGGAGGAGGGGCGGCGGCGGGGAGGCGCATGCAGGTATGGGAGGGGGGAGGAAGGCCTACTCGGCGCTGCCGACGGACTACAAGCTCCTGGAAGAGGTCGGATGCGGCGCCAGCGCCACGGTGTACCGAGCGATCTACCTCCCGTATAACGAGGTCGTCGCTGTCAAGTGCCTGGATCTCGACCGCTGCAACAGCAACCTCGTATAGTCTCCCTCACACCCACCTATCTCGCTCACTCGCTCTCTCCATCTGTTGTTATTCATATTTGCTCGTTTTGACCCTTTGATTTGACTTGGCTTGATGGTCGTTTCGCCTCGAGTTACTCGTGGCCTTGGAATATCGAATTCGTCCGGTGAAAGCTACGATCTCCCCGGAAATTGCTCTACTTTTGTATGTGAGTCTTACTCGGGGGATATTTTAGAGAGATAGGGAGATGAGGTATGCTTTCTGTAGCAGGTCTGGTGGTCTCAGCGAGACCGTCTTAGAGGATGGAAAATCTTGGCCGAGAACCAGTCAGCGAGTATACTCAGGATTCACAGTAATAATCTCTAAATCTGGTTTTCCATGGTAGATCAGTGACTATCGACAGATACCCGGCAAGAGTTTTCTCCTCTGCAGATGGATGTGGTTTGAAAGCGGCGCAGTAGATGGTGGGGACAAAGAATGCAAAAAGTCATCATAAATTAATTATAACGCGTGCAATAACCTAGTCACAGAGTGTCTCTACAAAAGACAAAATCTGAAGTAGCTACTAGTGAACAAATCACTTTTTGCGCCCCCCCGTAGCTTCTCTACCCCAAGGTGTTTTTTATAAAAAGTAAATATTGAAAGTATGCGTGGAATAGTAGTCATTGAAAGCATTATGAAATGGTGGTTGTTTCATTCATCCAACATGATTTTTTTTTCCTTTAGAACATTGATAATGGTTTTTGATGTTTTTAGTCCCAAAATTTACATGTTTTCAGCATATGTTAGGTTTGATCTAGTATTTATTATCTCTCTTGCAAGTCGTTGAATTATAAAATGTCTTTTGAATGGAACTAAACCCGATTGTGAAAAGAAGTCCTGCTTTAATAGTGAGATTTTTTATTGGTTTCGTCTATACCATAAGTGATAATATTAGGAAGAAGAAAAAAATATCTAAGGTCTAATGTGGTTTCAAAGAGCTTTAATGGTACTTTCTTCTTGTCCTATAAAATACCCCAATTGCCTTGGTAGTTGCCGGCCTTATGCATTTCACCATTTGAAAAATGATTCCCGGCATGGTGACAGGGATTGACAACAAGGTCTACGCTGTGTCTTGAGGAAACCAAAAATGTTGACCGGGGGGAAAAAGTTGATCCTGAATTTAATGTCATCACGTCCCCTTGCTTTGATCCAAATTGAAGGCTGAAACTTTGGTTAAGGGATTTCGTGGGAAGCTGAGCTGCTATATGAGAAATATATTAAGCTCAGTACTCTTTTGGATTATCTTTTATGGTGGAAAGTGGTGGAGAAATATCTTGAGAAAATTAAAAAAGGTAGACATCTGCAGGTAAATTGAAATTGAATATCATTGGGTTAAAATTGGTTGAAGGAAGAAGGTTTGTCGAGAAAGATGGCCAATTAGAAATTCTGGGATCAAATAGAAGAATGGAAGACGGTAATACCTGGATACAGTGTTCATCATAATCTTTAATAAGATGCATCAAACAGGAAAGTAAAAAATAGGGTGGTAGGGGAAGAAGTGACTTCTGATTTTAATTTTTTCCCTATGATTAACAAAAAAGACTGGATTTATTGGTATGTGATGTTGACATCTGATTACTGACTATTTAAGTTAATAGACAGTAAAAATGCTAGCTGAGTGGATGGAGGTCAAGAGGTTCTGTGGAAAAGTTTGAATGCAGATGAGTCCTGGGTGTGGAGAATTATTTGTTAAATTTCAAATTGGCACAGTGAATGATAATTTTTGTTGCTCACTTACTTTACTCTGTGTTATGGACAGAATGATTATTGTGGTAGAGAGTTTTTTTTTTCTTTTTTTTTTGTGAAGGGTTCTGGATCTTGTGCCAGGGCGATCTGAAAAACCAAATCCAATGATTTAGTTCAAGTTTTCCTGCTGGCTGGCAGTCTTTTGCAGTTGTCTGATTTATTGCTTCATAAGCCCAGTAATATTCAATTGCTGGTGGTTGGTGGATGAATGCAAATTGTACGAAATTTAAATGTAGAGACAGGTCTTTAAGGGTGTATGCAGGTATTCATTTTTACGTATTTTTAGTGTCAATCTGAAACCCTAAACGTATGTGCTAGCTTATTTCTTAAATGTTTGACCTTAATCTGTGATTAAATTTTAACGCTTTTTGCAATTATCTGTGGACAGGATGACATACGAAGGGAGGCGCAAACAATGAGTTTAATTGATCATCCTAATGTAATAAGGGCACATTGCTCGTTTGTTGTCGAACGATTTCTCTGGGTGGTCATGCCATACATGACAGAGGGTTCATGCTTGCACCTGATGAAAGTGGCACACACAGAAGGTTTTGAAGAACAAGTTATTGGCTCTGTTCTTAAAGAAACACTGAAGGCATTAGAGTACCTCCACAGGCAAGGGCATATCCATCGTGATGTCAAGGTTAGAATGTTTCTGTATCGATATGCAATTCTATCCATTAAAAAGGTGAAATGAAATGCCTTAACACTTAAATGTCATAGGCTGGGAATATCCTCCTCGACAGTACAGGAGTGGTGAAACTTGGTGATTTTGGAGTCTCAGCTTGCATGTTTGATACGGGCGAGAGACAAAGGTCAAGAAATACATTCGTTGGAACTCCATGTTGGTGAGATGCACTATTTATTTTGAATGAATCTTGTCAATTCCTTCACTGTTTAAAAAACTTTTTCAGTGTCCACTTTTGTGTTGCACTCCACATATTTCTTAGAACTTGGTCGCTTTTTGTTGGACAGGATGGCTCCAGAGGTGTTACAGCCTGGTAGCGGTTACGATTTTAAGTGAGTTTTCGTCCAAAAAAAATGTCTTCCTTTCACCAATTGGAACTTCTTTTTGAATTACAACTATGGTTCCTAATTTCCTATCTGATCTCCTCTTTTAGTCGGTGGCTCCATCAGTTTGTTACCCTGTTCGATTTTTATTTGTGTCCTTGTACCTATCATCCATTTAAAACATTCTGCATGTGGTACTAACAGCCGATGCTCTAACTCTGCTGCTTTTCAAGAGAATTCAGTGGATGCATTTAACAAATATGTGCAGCATTGAGTCATTTTTAAGACAGTCTCAAGAAATATCCATTACTTTTCTGCACACACTCCATTGATATCATTTGATACCGCATAAGTATCTATGTCGATTTTCTAGTTTGTATGCGTGGGCATTGAAAGAATGATGTGATCTCAAGTTTTGCATTGATTTGAAATAATTAAACATATGAAAACTTTAATTCCGCAAAATTAAGTCAAACTTTCAGGAAGAAGTTAGATGATAAACTTTGCATGATGCTGTAAGGCTGTAAAGATCATCATCATCCAAGACAATGCAACTGAAATAATTTCCAGAATACAACTCTATTGCCTGAGAGTTCTAAAAGGAAATTTACTGAGGTAAGTTGGGCATAAACAATTGTTCTATGACTGGAAAACGGAAGAGGGCTCTCATCTGCAAATAATAATTGATCAATTATGCATAATATTCCGAGACTGCCTTACATCAATGATTAAATTTTAACTTTTTTATATCCAGTTACTATTTTGACGCACCAGGCAATGAAGTGAGGTGAATAAGCGTGCCATTCATAGCTTTTTCAGTTTCCTTTTCAATATCTCCCCTATCATTCCTTATGAGTTTTTTTTTAACATTCTATATTGGAAACGTTTCTTTGCACACTTTTTGTTTCATATATTTTATTTCAAACTTTTTTGAGGGACAGGTATTGGGGAGTTATTTATCATTCGCTTTGCTGGTATAGTGACCAATTCATCCTATATTGGATTCTCTACAGGGTTGATATCTGGTCCTTTGGAATAACAGCACTCGAGCTTGCACATGGTCATGCTCCATTTTCAAAGTACCCTCCAATGAAGGTTTGACTCCTTTTTTCTGTCTCTTTAATGTTGAAGTTACTTATTTATTGAAAATGTTCACTGTGTATATTAGGAAGAATATGATATTCATCATGTATGTGTACATTATGTACCATAATTGGCCACTTCCGGTTTTGACAAAGGTGACTTCTTTAACTGTGATGGCTGCGATAACCATTTTCTTGTTGATGCTTATTTATGGTCCTGATTGCATCAACTTTGGCATGTTTGAAGGTATACACTTTCACCACATCATTGATCTTCTTTAATGGAGTCAGTCGCTTTTTAGTTTGAATTTCGCACCAACTTGGATTCTCAGAACGTTGAGTGAGAGTCCTTCGAGCAAAAAATATGCATAGGATCATGCAAGGTCTAAATGGTCTTGTGTGAAGCTCAAATGTGCAAGAGATTCCCATGAAATGTAGACATGCGGGAGGATAGGTGTTAAGGTTTATGTTCTTTTGTGCACGTTAACATACTTCAAATGACTATCATTGGATCTTAGACTTTGTCAGTAAGATGAAAGACTTGCCAAATGTACTTCATTTTGAGAAATGAGATGACAGAATGTTCTTTCATCATCTTTAATAACTGCACTTATGACTGTTGTGATCGTTTTTGTTCGCTGATATAGGTTCTCCTAATGACCATCCAGAATGCTCCTCCTGGTCTTGACTATGATCGTGATAAAAGGTTTTCGAAGGTACTGCTGTCTTCTTTCCCCCCACAGCTGGTGCTGCGTTGCAAAACGTTTTGTGACAGGTTTCTTTATCTTAAACTGTATGACATGTACAAATTATATGTAATGAGCCAAGATTCGTTAATGTCCGGAAACAGGCGATTCCTTTTTTTATGTGTACTACGCTAATGGTTCTTAGATGATACTCTTGTTTGACTTCTTATGGGATACTCTTCTAATTATGACATTTCCAGTTGTGATCAGTCATTCAAAGAAATGGTTGCTATGTGCTTGGTGAAAGATCAAACGAAGAGACCAACAGCAGAAAAATTGTTAAAACACTCATTTTTCAAGAATGCAAAGCCACCAGAACTGTCTTTGAAAAGCATTTTAGCTGACCTGCCTCCTCTTTGGGAACGTGTAAAAATACTAAAGGTTTGTGAATGGTGCAGATGTGTTGAAGATCTGCTATTATGTATTTGTTTATATGATATTGTAAACGAGTTAAACAATGCTTTGCAGAGAAAAGATGCAGCGCAGCTAGCCCTAAAGAAAATGCCATCTGCTGAACAAGAGGCACTCTCACAGGTTAGATATGTAGGCATTTTGACATGTTTAGTTGTGTTTGTCTATTTTTTTCTTTTTCTGGCAGAGAGAAGTTCTGCAATGATTTCATTCGGTATCGCAGATGAGTATGCATTGGTACTTGTCTGAATGCGCTCATAACTGTAAATATGGCCTTCTGGGGGTCTCAAGTGGGGAAGGAATGAAAAGAAATAATAAACCGTTCGAGATGAACAAAGTCTCACAATGGTTTTTTTGGAAGATCGGTTATCATAATGCATGGTATTGCTCTGAAATTGCTTGTTCATTATCAAATTTTCACGATACTTCATAGAAATCAAAAACACCTCAAACATGCTCTGTCTAGTGTAGAAGTGTCTACTCATTCTAGTGGCACTGTTGGATATTGAAGGTATTGGTCAGCTGTAGCTGTATCTCTGGAAGTTTGTCATTCCTGTTATCAATGAATGCACTGTACAATTCTGTATGGATATAAGTATTTCATTGCTATGGATTTTTTTTCCTTATATATCTTGTATTACTATGCCAGAGTGAGTACCAACGAGGGGTTAGTGCATGGAACTTTGATCTTGATGATTTAAAAGCACAGGCATCCCTGGTATAAGTTTCCTTCCAAATATTCCACTTTCTGAAATATTTTTATATTCTGGTGAAATGTGATGTAAATCCTCTCTTTCCTGAATCTTTCCAACAGATACAAGATGCCGAGGATGATGGAAACTTAAGATTTTTCTCTAATGAAAAGGTTATAATTCTTTTACTCATAAGTTAAGCTCTTATTACTGATAGAATGAGATCTTTTGTCATTGTAATTTGCTTCTTTTTTTCTATTTTGTTTCCTGGTGACACGGTTGGTGCTGATGATAGTCTAATGATAGCAGGTTCCATCTATTTCTGAAAAGTGTGTGGATGAACCAATATCAAAGCATGATACTGATGACAGGTATATGACATGAATATAATGGCCTGAGCTCCACACTTTTAGATCCCTTTATTTAACATGAATTTAAAATAATCAATTGCCTCACTATTTGTTCGTACTTTTGCCTATGAATTTCATTTCTGATTAATTCTCCATTTCTACATGTGGTTTTGATGATTGGATTTTAGTTCTCTCAATGAAAGATATCCCCATTTGATGTGTTATCTTTCATTGGGCACTTTAAGTCCCATGTGTAGCAGTTGGGAAAAATCTCCAGCCTTTACTCACTTTTGTGTTGCTTTTCTTTTTTGACCAAAGCTTTGAGTTTCGTGCCCTTTGGTTCCTGATACCTATGGTACACATACCTTGGCTTTGAATATTTTTTAGACCCTTTGTATGTGGTTGTTCCTAATTTTCATTTCGATCTCATTTGCATATTCTGTCAGTTTCTGTCTTTTACTCGTTGTCATATGCTTTCATTAGTTAATATCAGCAAATCACTGAAGTATTTATTAATTGTTATCTGAAGCGGAGTGAGATGGGAGGAAGAAAAATGAACTTCATTCACTCTCAGAAAGCAGACGCCGTAGGTTAAAAGACAAAGAAAAGACAAGACCAAAAAACTGATAATACGAAAGACCGAAATACCCGTCAAGTACATAATTTAGTGGTTTTTTTCCTACTGATCTTTTGAATTGTAATCCTGAAAATATTTACCAAACTACGGAAACCTTGGAAAATGAAGTGTCACATTCTGATACCACGTGATGGCTTTTGCTCCGCGTAAATGTGAAAAATTTCTGAATGGGTTTTCATGATGCTTTCAAAATGCTCTTCTGGAGACCACTTTTGTGTCATCAGGTCCATTACTTTTCTTTCTTTTACTGTAGTTGATGGCAGTGTATTGTATGTGTTTTTTCCGGCGCCTTAAATTTTATAATATGCGAAACTGGTAATGGCTCTTCCTGTTCACATGTTTTTTTATACATGAACGGGAAAGATGGTATTTTCAATTTTTCTATCGTTTTTCATTTCTCGTTATATTTATTTACCTGGGTCTCAGATTACTGGTAATTTTTTTTCCGTAAGATCCTTCCGCTAGGCTTTTTTTAGGTTCATACTTTTTATGCTTTTATCCATTCCCGGTTCTAGTGTCACTGTTATGCCATAAATTTGCACCCTACAACCTCTTTTAGAACCTAGACATATGCTTCATTGCTTTGGATTGTGATTTGACCAAAATTTAACGTTATTATTTGTGCAATTATAATTGAGGAATCTTATGCTCGTTTTATACAGCTAGATGATGGATATTACATTCACGCCCTTTTTTTCATGCAGAGAAAGCACCTCTGCCGCTGCAAGATCTGAGAATGGGTCTGTAATTGTGAAGGATGAGAATCTAGGATCGGGTATACAATCTCCCAGCATTGAAGAAAAAATGACTGGACTTCAAATAGGAAGATTGAAAAAGAATCCAGTGACATCAACACAGAGGACAGACATCATACAGAACCTTAGCGCAAATGATTTCGAAAAGCAACAAGTTCATAGTGGCCCCCTTCTACCTCACAATGTCCTCCGCCACTCTCTTTCAGAAAGAGGCCGTACATTGGACAGGTAATTTTAAACTCCGAATATTTCGTGTTTGAACTTGTTGGAATATGTAATGAAATGGAATTATTTTATTAGGGTAGTGTCCACTTACGGCATCTTAGAACTAGGGCTGCGAGTTGGCTTGGGTTAGAATAGATTGTGAACTCCTACCAAACCAATGATAATGCGTCCTTAACCATCTCTGATCCTTGAGTAAATCCATTTGATTCAGGTATTAACCGTGTGGGTTCGAAGGAAATGGGACTCGATTAGCAAAATAAGATGATCCGAAGGAAGAACCAATACCGGTTTTAAAAGGGAAAATATATTGATGGTCGTATTGCAATTTCTTAAAGGTGCATATATCAGATAGGGGCGGTCATACTTATCTCAGCTGTAAACAGGTTCCCAGACATACTTTTTTGGGTGGCTGGCTGGGCAAGGCTGGTTTACGCTATTTTTTTCTTCTCCTTTTGTCTGCCCTTGGAAATCAAGTTGCACTTCCATATTCTTCGTCTGAAAGTTCATTCCTGCCCTAGACTGGCTGATCTAAATGAAACCCGCTTAAGTTAGGGAGAAAATCGGTCAATTGATCCAGAATGGCTTATTCTAAGATACAAATAGACATGCATTGGCCTATGTGGTCCAATTGAGTAGACATTTTTCTTTAAAATATTGAATGTGTAAACCAGGTTTTTCAGTCAAACCGAATTGTTTGTGTGGTTTTCAAATACAATGCTATTCTTCTTTAAAGAGGTTAATTCATTGAACTCTTGGTTACTAAAGCCCTGAAATTCTTCTGACCATCAAAACTATAATTTGCATTATCAATCAATATAATCATTAAAATCTCATTCAAAATTTATTTTTTTTTGAAAGGTAAAATCTTGAAGTCTCACTTGTGGACCATACTCATAATAACTGAAAAATGTGCAAAACCGCGGTGTACAAAGTATTGTAAAATGCCATGAAACAGATAGATGCAGAAATAATATGAGCAGACCACGGTTCTCCTCTGCACATAATATTCGCTTTCAGTTTACGGCTGCAGGACAGTGATGAAAATCGCAACTCTGTAATTAATTTTTCTAAAAATATAAGGTATGATTTAACTGATGCCTTAATCTTTTTTCCAGCACAAAATCCTTTTTTAGCTTACAAAATTTCCTTTAAGTGCTTCTAACAGGATCTCGAGTATAGCCTTTTAATGAAATGACCTGACAGATGGTGGGTCTGTCTGTTATTCTTCATTGGTGATCACTGGGTTGTGTGGTTGATTGATGTTCTTATGATTTTCATATGCTTATATCGTGTGAATTTACATAAGATTTTGTTTCATGGCTTCTGCATAGGCCTCTCCATTTAAGGTTCTTAATCATTGTATAAAAGCTATTGGCATAAAAGCTTTCTTTGATTTTATGTTCATAAGGATGGCAGGGTGAAAACTAAAAATTCATGCCTTTGTACTGGATTGGTTGGCATTAATGAGACAGTTCTCATATTTTCATTCTATGAGAATACCTTCGTTTCAATCTATTTAGTTCTTCCTCTTATATTTTTGCCTTCATATTTCATGTCTTGGATGGGAAATTTAATATTTCCCGTTGTTAGATTTGATGGCGATATTCAACCGGCAACTGATAAATATAAGCATGATGGACGGAAAGCTCAGAATTTCAGTGGTCCATTAATGCTCCCTAATCGTGCTTCTGCCAACAGTTTGTCTGCTCCAATGAGATCTTCTGGAGGTTGTAAAGGCTACTCAACCTGAAATACATTCAAGTGACTTGTTCTTACCTCTAATTTGTTTTTTAGGTTACAGAGATTCTTTGGAGGATAAGTCTAAGGCCAATGTTGTTCAAATAAAAGGTCGATTTTCTGTTACATCAGAAAACGTAGATCTTGTAAAGGTACAGCTCACATCTTTACTTGTTTTCCATCTATTCTGGACTTTTTTTCTATTGAAGAAAACTACACGTTGCAGGATATTCCAACATGTACCCTTCCAAGAAGGTCTTCCCAGGTTTGTATCGGAGATTTGTGGAGACATTATTTCATTTTATCTCCTCTTTCGACCCCAACTTTTAACATTGAGGTTTTCAGGGCTCTCCTTTGAGGAAGTCTGCTAGTGTCGGTGACTGGCTTGCTGCTAAATCAATGGTATGTGTACATACCTCATTAGTCTCTTGAGACTTTATCATTGCCATTGGGATACGACATGAAATATTGCTATGTAGGCAAAAGCCATAGTTACAGTTGACCTGAGCGCATGAAAAGAAAATCTTAGAATGCTGTCAAATTTAGCATAACATCAGAAAAATTAATCTTGGGGCAGAGGAGCCAGTATTCCATCATAATCATCACTTCCTGCTGTGGAAAGTTGTTTAAGTCGTAAACAAATACATTTTCTTATGGGATATTTTATAATAAAATTGGAGTGGCTCTCTTTATTAGCCTCGTTTTACCCCCGTTCTGTTCTTGTTTTTTTCTTTTGACGCATTTGTCTGCTTTTGTGATGCCTCTCAAACAATGCTGTGTTTTCTTTGGCTGTCAGGGAGAAAGAGAAAACTGTTTGTGATTTATTGTATTTAACTATGAATCTGGAGTGGGCCAGAGCCTATTTTCTTTTTGGGCTTTATTTACTACCCGATTCAGAAAAAATCGGGTCAGCTTGGCTTCCGGGCTAGTCTCTCAAAAATTTAGGTCATTGGCAGACACCTCCCAAACTCCAAATGGCAGACGTTAACTGTTCATTAAAAGGCAGATGATTGCAAAGTCGTCAGAGTCACAAAACTGTCCTGATGTCAATTTTTCTGTGGGTGCAACAATTGGTCTAAGTTAAAAGTGGGAATTCCTTTTGAAGTTTGACATATCTTTACAATGTCAAGGGAAGGCTGGGTCTTGGAGTTGTGCCCCTTGCTCTTTTCTTGCTCATGGTCAAACATTATTTTTCATGCGTTTAAGCTGCAAATCACTAAACTTTGTGCTTGAATGAAAATTTGTTTGTTATCAACTAGGGAGGTATATGATCAATATTTTCAGAGGCCCTAAACAAGAGTCTGGGTCCTAGAGTACTTTTGAGATCAGATTTTCAAATATGTTTGAATTCTTGTCTTGTTACTAACACTATTTCATGAGAATCAAAGACCAAATTTTATTCCTTGATGTTGTTGGCTCATTCAACTAATTATTAATGGAAACTTTGCTTAACATTCATTCTTCCGGTCAGGAAAGATGACCAATCCTGGTTGTCTATCCGATAATCATTGAGTGATGCACTTTACGTTTCTATGTCCAATGTAGTTGAGGATTATTAATATTGGAAGATGGGATTTACGATTATCATTTGTAATGTGTTTTCATGTTCACCAGATTTGCTGAGATTTAGTTTTGTCATATGACTCATGGAAATTGTTTCTACCTGAAATTTAGACAAAATTTTGCTTGGTTTAATAGGGAATCTTGTTTTAATTCACTCTTTTGATGCTATCAGCTTGTAGAAAATTACTCTGAAAATGGTCCTAGAAAAAGTATTATTTGGCCAGCTACTCCCACTTTCAAATGTTCACCTCTTACTGCTGATTGCTAATCAATTACTCAAAATGTGAGCACATGTTTTACTTTAAAGAAAGGTGGAACCGTGGGGCATATTCTGTGTTGTTCTGCGTTGTTTCATTGCTTTCATCACATTAGTGCTGTTCCTCTGATCTTATTGATATCTTGCTCGTGGTTGTTTCACCTAGTCTTTTAATCAGTCATCAAAGGAAATCAGCAACATTATGATGCCTGCAGCTGCTCTGTTGCCCCACCTGCAGAACCTTTTACAGCAAGTTTCTTTTCAACAGGTTCAAATTTTACTCTTCACGGTCTAAACGTCTGCTACATTATTTTTTTCTTTTCCTGAACGCCTTTGAATTTCTTCGGTATTTGTTGTGATTTCACCTTATTTCTCAACAGGAACTCATTACGAGTTTGGTGAACAGCTTTCAACTGACCGTCCCAGGTAATGGTGGGTAAAAAGTTTCTGTTTGAGTAGCGGTTGAATCATTTATATGCACATCTGAGACACTTCTTTTTTCCACAGCTGTGCAAACTGTGGTAACTTCTCAAGCTTCCAATGGAGAAAATGACGCGGTAAGGCCTTCTTTGTGTTCAACTCTGAGCCTTTCTCTGTCAAAGCTTGATATTTCCTGGTTAAAGATTGGCTTCTTATTAAACCCTATGAATCATCTCTTTTATGCTAAGAAATATTAAACTTCAATGTTTTGATGTTCTTGCATTACATAGGAGATTCCTCGTTCCTTCTATCACATGCCCTGAAATCAGACATGCCCCATTCCACCATGCCTGAGGGTTGAGTTCAGGATGGTAATTGGTTGAGAAACTTTGCCAATAGGTCCTTTCTTTTTTATGTTATCCAGTTTCTTTGGCAAGGATTGTTAATATTATTCAGAAAACTTTAGTTGTCTTCATTAACCACAAGATCTTCGGATTGGATAATCTCCTTTCTCTTCGAATTATTGGATTTGAATATTCGAAATTTAAAGCCTTTGGCGTATGATATTGAAAGATAATGTTTTCCTTTGGCATATCTTTACATGGGGTTGTTTGCGGACTAACTCATTAAGATCATCAAATTGTGAACATGGTATCTTTTGGAACTCAGCTTCAGGAATGGATTAGACGCGATCCTAGCTCATCCTGCAACCCTATCTAAAATTCAGGGTGATGAACTCAGATTCTGGTCGATTTGCATAGCACCATGAGTGAAGGGAGGGATCGCTTAGGAAGAAACAGAGAAAAAATGGTCAACAGAGGGAGGATTGTGATTGTGGGTCTGTGGAATAGGTAGTAAGATACATCTGGGGAGTATCTGGGTTCTAGAGAGGACACCGGGATGAATTGTGATTCTTGGGTTAATTATGCACAAAAGAGACGATACAGGTGATGAGATCATATGCCCTTTTTAAATTGTGCTCTCATAGATTGAATCCTTCCTTTCGAGTTCTAGATTAGGTTATTTTAAATTTTTTTTCTCGTTCACATCTTTTCCAATGAATTTCCCCGAAAAATAAAACTGTCTTAGAAAACTTAAAGTATTGCCTCGCGCATGTGAAAGGGAATAAAATTGAAATTCTTCTTCTTCTTCATCTTCTTCTTTTTTAATTTCTATTCAGGTTGAATTTGCGGCATCCGAAAGAGAGCAGATGTTCCTTTCACAGATTTCAGAGCTGCAAACGAGGTAGGCCACTTCCTCCTATGTAGTGTTGAGGTGTGGTGGGTGAGCCCAAACCTTGGGTCGGCCAGGCCCAAACCTTTGGCCTGGGCTGGCCCGGGCTTTAGGAAGGTCTTGGCTCTAGCTGGGCCGTATCAAAACTTCCCGGGCTCAAGCTAGGGTTGCTGAAGCCCTGACCAGCCTGCTATAACAACAGCCCTTGTATCGTTGTATTTTTTTTTTCTCTTGTATCCAAAGCAGGCCCATTTAAATTATTCCGTGTTCCTGAATGATAACTTGGAGTGTTCTTTGCTCGTCACAGGATGATTAATTTAACTGAGGAATTGACTGCGACAAAGATGAAGCAATTGCAGGTGAGCTACATGGGCGGAGCATCTCCCACTTTTCTTGTGAATTAAATGAAATGTGCATATTCCATTCTCCATACGCCTATGCTATTATTTACTTTTCTTCTCTCTCTCTCTCTCTCTCTCTCTCTCTCTCTCTCTCTCTCTTATGCGATCATTCAGGGGTTATAATAACTATGGGCATGGAAATCTCGGTTTCTCTGTACTCTCATCTTTCACTATTTTTATTATTTTGCAAGAAATAATTGAAGTTCAGATACTTTTCTTTGATCTTTGAGTTCCATAGTAGATATGTTGCGATGAAAATATTTTCATTGGATCCCCAATTCTATGTATAATTAATGTTCCAAATAAATTTCTCTCCCAGTAAATTCGCTTCTACTATCAGAAACTGCAGAGTTCCTCTGGATCATCACCACCCGAGGAGGTCCACTAACTATTTCCGTTCAAATTTTGTGACAATCCCCAGTTGCAACAGCGGCTAGACGTTGCAAACAGCCGGGGAGAGGACATCGGCAAGGGAGAGAAGGAGGCCTCCATGAGAGAAACCGGCCCGAGCTAAGGCTTCAGCTGCATCTCATCTCCCCAGCTCCCTCCTTCAATGGCCGCTGCAGAGAGAGGAGGGGGGGGCATCCTCAGCCCTTCAGTCCCTCGAGCTGGAGGGTTTCTATTAGTGTTCCAAGGTCACAGAGGAGTCACAGGCCCCTCCCCTCCTCCTGCTCCCGCCCAGAGGCGTCAGGCCAGGCCGATCAGCCCAACAAGCAACGAGGGCCATCCAGAGCCTGTGATTCTTTTCCCAACTTTCGTCACTCCTACCCATCATTATTATTATTATTATTATTATTATTATTACTATTATTGTTATTATTATTTGCATTTCTTATGGGCCCACCACCCTTCTACCACCCCACCCCTCCCTATTAGTACTACAATGGGAGGGACTTGGTTTGTGATATAAGTATCAGGGTTGCTCCATCTTGTCATAGAAGGTTGGATGGTTGTAAGCTAGACGACGCTTTCTTGGAGTGTTCTTACATGGGTGGCTGTTCAGAACCACGCCTGTCTGTTCAGAAATAGCAGCATTTCTTGGAGTTGCAGAGTTTGAAATGGAGCTGGACCCGCCTAAGTTAGAAGCGATCTTGTTGCATGCAACTTGTTGATGTCTTTGCTTGGCTTGCGTTGACTTTTCACTTTGTGTCAACTCTCGTTGACCGTGGTGTCATCTTTAGCTACGAATATCAGTGATCAGTTGCCCTTGGTCTCTGGGAAGAGCCCGCAGGGCTCAGTTCTGATTTTGTCTTCGTTTGGTTCGAGTTGACCTTGCCCTTTAAGTCAACTCTCGAGTTGGCTTGCGGTGACTTTTCACTTTGTGTCAACTCTCGTCAGTTCTGGGAGCAGGTGAGCAAGCTACAGAGTAGGAAACGTTTCGTTCGTAGATCACAGTTGTGTGACAGATGGTATTCGGCTGGGATTTTCTTCAAGAATGTTGGAGAAGATCGATCGCTAATGGAAAAAGAAATTATCCTTAATTATTGAAGAATTTTGGGTCTTCTTCTTCCTGTCTTCTCCAGGTTTACTGGAGCAGGAACAGGGAGGGGAATCACCGCGCGGCACAGAGAGAGAGAGAGAGAGAGAGAGAGAGAGAGAGAGAGAGAGAGAGGGGTTAAAAATCTCAGAGCCACAGGGGACTGCCGATCTATGGTTTATCATAAGACCCGTCAGTGACCACATGGGACGTACGAGAGGAATCTCATGGAGAAACCACAAGGGCAGAAGCGCCTGGTCTAGCTCCCGTCCGCCGCCGGGGGACGACGCCGCCACCAGATTCAAGATCGCAGAGGCAATGTCGCCGCCGGGGAAGGACATCCTCAGGGCGATCCCTCCGTGGCGAGAGCAGCTCACAGCCCGGGGCCTGGCGGCGAGCCTGGCCGTTGGCGCCACCTACAGCTTGGTCGCCATGAAGCTCAGCCTCACCACCGGGCTCGTCCCCCCCCTCAACGTCTCCTCCTCCTTCCTCGCCTTCATAATCCTCCGGGCGTGGACGGGTCTGCTCCGCCGCGCCGGCCTCTCCCCCAGGCCCTTCACCCCCCAGGAGAACGCCGTCGTTCAGACCTGCGCCACCGCCTGCTACAGCATCGCCATGGGAGGTCGGAGACCCATCCGTGCTAGGGTTTCGCTCTCTCCACCTCCATCTCCACGTTCTGTGATTATTAAACCAACTGGGTATTTTTCTGAGAACCAGGCGGATTTGGATCGTATCTGCTTGCGCTGAGCAAGAACACGTACGAACAGGCGGGCTCGAGCGGCGGCTACAGGGATCCCGCGATCGGCTGGATGACGTCGTTCCTCTTCTCCGTCAGCTTCGTCGGGCTCCTCCCCCTCGTCCCTCTCAGAAAGGTTCCTCCTCTTTCTTCCTCCGTTCCGTTCTCTCTGTGTTCTTGGAACGATCTGATCCAGAACCAGACTCTGTAAGAAGCTTCGTTCTTTTTCTCTTTCTTCTGACAATTTCTCTCTCAAGATCATGATCGTTGACTACAAGCTTGCCTACCCAAGTGGCACGGCCACCGCCGTTCTCATCAACGGCTTCCACACACCCCAGGGGGACAAGATGGCCAGGAAACAGGTGCAGAGCTTCGCCAGAGCTTTCGGGCTTAGCTTCTCATGGAGTCTGATCAAGTGGGTCTTCTCCGGAGAGGTCTGTGCAGCTGGGAGGCGACCTTCGGTGGGGCCCACGTAAGAACCAGCACAACCCACGTTGACTTTGATCTTGACTGACACAAGCGGACCTCAGTCAACGCGATTAGACCTCATCTGACCACCTGGTTTTTCTTGCAGGGCCTTCTCCAATTTCAGCCTGGCTTACGTTGGTGCTGGGATGATCTGCAGCCACCTGGTCAACCTCTCCCTCCTCATGGGAGCCGCCCTGTCGTGGGGCCTTCTGTGGCCCCTGGTGAGGAGGTTCAGTGGGGCCTGGTACGCCGCCGGCTTGCCGGAGAGCAGCATGAAGGGCCTCCAAGGCTACAAGGTCCGGCCATGGCAGGCTTCCCCTTAGAGTTTATTTCCTCTTTTGGGATGAACCCGTTGGCTTGCTGTTCTTCGCAGGTCTTCGGCTCGATCGCCCTGATCCTCGGGGACGGGCTCTACAACTTCGTCAAGGTGGTGGTCATCGTCGCCGGGAGAGCCTGCCGGAAATCTCGGAGAACCGGTGAGCACCCAGGTTGACTTCCCCCCTCCAAATCATGTTCATGGATTCGAGCCACCAACCAGCCAACCGAGTGGGTGATCAGGGGCGGCGGATGGCGGCGCGGCGGCGCTGGAGGATCTGCAGAGAGACGAGGTGTTCTTGAAGGAGAGCATCCCGTCGTGGGCGGCCGCCGCCGGGTACGCTCTCATGGTAGTGTTGTCCGTCGCCGCCGTCCCTCTCATCTTCCCGGAGGTGCGGCGGAGCCACCTCCTGCTGGCCCAGCTGGCGGCGCCTCCGCTGAGCTTCTGCAACGCCTACGGCGCCGGCCTGACGGACATCAGCATGGGCTACAACTACGGCAAGGCGGCGCTCTTCCTCCTCGCCGCCTGCGCCGGCGAGCCCTCCGGGGTGATCGCCGGCCTCGTGGGCTGCGGCCTCGTCAAGTCTGCCGTCTCCGCCGCCGCCGAGCTCATGCAGGACCTCAAGACCGGCCACCTCACCCTCGCCTCCCCACGCGCGATGCTCCTCGCGCAGATGGCGGGGACGGCGATGGGCTGCGTCCTCGCTCCCCTCGCCTTCTTCGTCTTCTATGGCGGCGGGTTCGCCGTCGGCGACCCCGCCGGAGCCTTCAAGGCGCCCTATGCTCTCATCTACAGGAACATGGCGGTGCTCGCCGTGGAGGGCTTATCTACCTTGCCGGGGAATTGCCTGTGGCTCTGCGGAGGGCTGATGTGTTTCGCCTTGGTGTTGAACGCCACCAGGGACCTGCTGGGGCCGGAGAGCCGGCGGCGGCGGTGGTTGCCTCTGCCGGCGGTGATGTCGGTGCCCTTTCTCGTGGGGCCAGAGTTCGCCGTGAACATGTGCGTGGGGAGCTTGTTGGTGCTCGCCTGGGGCTGGTTCGGTGTCGCGGGCGGGGCTGGGCCGGCGGCGCAGTCGGCCGCCGCCGCCGGGCTCGTCTGCGGGGACGGGCTGTGGGCGCTTCCTTCGTCACTGCTTGCCCTTGCAAAGATCCCTTCTCCTCTCTGCGTGAAGTTCCCCGCTGAGTAGAGAGAGACTCAACGCAGAGACCAGCAGGAGGAAGGCGTTGGGAGCTCTTCGAACGGGCCGGGGAGAGACGGGCTTTTGAACAGATCCGGCCCGCGGGCCTATGGTCCACCAAAACATAATTCCTTTAGTTTGAGAAATGGGCCCAAGAGTGGAGTACCCCACAGTCGTTCTAGAGGAGTTCCAAATCAGTCTATAATCTTCCTAAATCAGCATTACTCTTCTTTATTTATTTATTTAATTTCTGAATGAATAATGATATTTAGCAAATAATTCTACATTGCCTCGCAATTATAATTTTTTTTTTTTCTCTCTCTCTCTTTCTCTCTCTCCATTTTAGCTCCATTTATGGGAAAGAACCAATTTAGTCCCATCCCCCTCTCGTCTCTCTCTCTCTTCATCTCTAGCATATGAACTTGGTTAGAGCTAAATTTGCTTTACTGAGAAAGGATGGGGATTCAGAGACCCACATGCCAGAATAAGAAGTAATTTTAATCAGAAGAAATGGCGGCATGAAAAAGTTGGGCGTAGAATTGGGAAACCCTGAAGGGTTATGACCTCTGATCTCCCCAATTCCTAGCTTTTTCTTTATTTGGAAATGTCGGGTGAGGGGAGTTGCAGCAGAGAGAGAGAGAGAGAGAGAGAGATCCACACAAACGTAATAATCTGTGCATAAATGGTCTCCATCGGAAAAATTTGGTCAACGTTAAGTTTCTGAGCCGAATGGGATCATCTTACCCAGTTATGATGCCAGCAAGAACATCGCCCTGCCCTCGCGCATAGATGGTGTAGACAAGGCGGATGGCGTCCAACCACCCCTCAAGCGAGTCCCAAGTATCGGCTACCTGAAGTCGACATGACGCTCAGAGTGCAATCAATCAATCAATCAATCAATCAATCAATCAATAATTAGTTCACATTAAGTAGGATAAATCATTGACTACCGTACCAAATATAATAAAAACTGACTGCCTGATAAGTATTGCACGCATTTTGGTCAACGTCTTATGAGAAGCACTCTGATGACCCAGAGAACATGAAGAAGATAGAAGATAAGGTGGAGAGAGAGAGAGAGAGAGAGAGAGAGAGAGAGAGAGAGAGAGAGAGAGAGAGAGATTCCCAGAATCAGCTATACCCCATGATAAATAGTCACCTAAATTGGCTGATCCTGGTGAGATTGCCAATTCTGAGTCAACACCAAACCTTGCACTCTATTGGTTCATCTTTCCAAACTCCTTTCATTAAGTGGGACAACTACTAACTGGACTTGTGCCTCATTCTGCCTGAACACGTCTTGGGCAGAGACATAGCCTGAAACGCATACTCCCAAGGTCGAGGCACGGCAGAATGGTGGGAGTCGCCCTGAAAAGAGGTAGGCCTGAATAGTTGACCGTGTCCTGGATTTCCTGTCAAACTTACTGTTCTAGGTTGCCTTGAGCCAGGCAAACCTGGGGACTATCACTACCTTTCAAGCCCATGTGATGTGGTGTGATGTGATGTGATGTGATGCATCAGGATACAAGTTGTGAACTTGCCCAGGATCAAATCATAACCTAGAAACTTGATATGACCAACTAGAAGAACACGGGATCCGTGAGGGACGAAAATCTGAGCCTGTATGTTGTTCTAGTTGTAGTAAACCCAAGACTGTCTAAATGCTGTTCTGTACTAGTCTTGGGGAAGAAAAATCTCAAAGTGGCAGACATGTTGCAGCTCTTAAGCCTAACGGTGTACACTTATTTTATGCTATAGAAGCTTTGTTTTTTCTATATTTAAATTAAATGAAAATAAGCACATTTTTAATCTTAAAAATGATAAAGAAGGACAGGGAATTAAAAAAAAAGAACAGCGGTAAAGGAAAAAAATTATCAATAGAAATTGATAAAATAATGGAAATAAAACTGCAGGAAAAACGTGTGATCAGAAGCTACTTTCTGTCGGTCAGTTTCCTTGACCTAGGTAGTTGTTTCCCTTTCTGTGGCCAACTAGCAACTGCTCTATGATTTGAGGTACATTGCACTGATTCGAGGAGAGGAAGACAGAAAAGGCTTGATGCTCGAACCACAGTATGCACACACCTCAACTATGGCGGCCAGAGGTGACAATAATTCAGCCACAACTCGTGTACGGTGTTCGAAGCTCCATGGATAATCTCTGAGTCAGGTAGCTCAAAGAACAATGGTGAAGCTCATGTCATGACAGTATATCAGAATGAAGCAGGACCAAAGGAGTCTGGTAGTCTCAACCAAGAAGAGGTCGAGAGAGTGAGATCGTTCATTGATAGTTGTGACAAACTCACAAATGCTTCTTCATTGGCGTATTCAAGAGAGCTTCCATCCTATCTTGGATTAAATGCCTCTGGTACAATCTTTGCCGACTTCTGGATGATGGATTCAGTAGGAAAATAGCAACAGCTGATGGTTCTTTGATTACTGTAGCAGGTGTAGGACATTTTCAAATAAATCTTTCCATTGACTTTAGAACATGTTCAATTCTCCGCAAACCTTGTGTCTATCTGAAAGTTTATTCAAGACTTACATGGGAAAGTAGTTTCTCATCATAGTCATTATGTCTTGTATGATAAGAATCCGGAGAGGATGATTGAACATGCTGGAAAACGGGATGGACTCCTCTACATCAAAGTACCAAGCTAGTCAAACATTATGAAGGGAAAGTTACCTTATTCTCTTGAGCTTCATTTATCCAATAAGGAGAGACTTTGACTTCACCATCGCTGACTTGGACATCCGTCATTCAGGGTTATCAGGATTCTGTTTCCTTCTTTATTTCAAGTCCCAAGTGTTGAATATTTTCATTTTGACATGTGCAACTTACTAAACACAATTGTATATCTTTCCCATTAGTAACAAACGAAGTTCTATTCCTTTCTATTTTATTCATAGTGATATATTGTGTCCTACCGTTCCTAATGGTTCTGGGGCTAGGAGCTTTGTGTCATTCACTGATGATTGTACTCGTGCTACTTGGATTTTTCTGCTCAAACAAAAATCTCAAGTCAGTACTGTCCTCCCAAATTTTTGTTCCATGATTAAGAATTAATTCGGAATTGTTCTCCTAATGTCAAAAGGTTTAGGTCAGATAACGTAACAGACTCTTTCAATCAATCCTCACTCTATACCTTCAAAATGAGGGAATATCATAAGAAGCGGATGCGTCAGCAGAGAGGGAAATATATCAACGACTTGTAGGAAGACTCATCTATCTGTCTCTTAAAGGACTAGACATAGTATACACAAATGAGTGTGATTAGCCAGTTCATGCACAGTTCAAAAGAAGTGCATCTGCATACAACTCATGGAGTGTGACAATATCTCAAAGAGACACCTGAAAAAGGTATTATGTTCAGGAGAATAGAGGGTGGTCGGTATTTGAAGCATACACAGATGCAGATTATGTAGGGTCAGTGATTGAGAAGAGATCAACCTCTTGGTATTGCAACTTTCTTAGTGGCAACCACATGACATGGAGAAGTAAGAAACAGCATGTTATGATCTAGTGTAGAAGTTGAATTTTAAGCAATGACTTAACGTCTATGTGAACTACTTTGGTTGAAGATCATCTCAGAAGACTTGGAGATTAAGTGAGATGGCCCAATGAAACTCTATTGTGATAACAAGTCTGCAATTAGTATAGCTCAGAATTTAATAGAACACAATTAAACAACACACGTCGATATTGATAGAGACTTCATCAAGGAGTAATTAGAGAGTGGATTGATTTGTAAACCCTATGTGTCTACACATGGCCAACTTGCAGATATGCTTGCAAAGGATTAAGTAGTTTGGTATTTCAGTGTACTATTTCCAAGCTGGGAATAGAGAATGCATATTCAGCAGCATGAGAGAGAGCGTGGGAAAAAATGTGTCATTAGGAGTTAGTTTCTGTGGTCAGTTTCCTAGTTTACCAATTTCCTTAACAAAGGCAGTTTCCTTTTTTCTGGCAAGGGTTATTGGACATAACTAGCAATTGTTCTATGATTTAACAAAGAGAAGCTTTTTCCCGATTGTTTATCCTTGTATGGTTAAACTGAACTGCTACAGTACTTGGCATACAATGGGAATTGAGACGACGTAATAAGAGAGATGAGAGACTGTACCCATTATCATCCTATTTGCTCTAATACATTTTCCAACCCATAATCTCGCTAGTGTCTTTGGCGTCAGCAGCTCATCATCTTATCTCCTTTGCGTATTTTGTTTGTATGTGTGTGTGTGTACATGTGAGAAAGATAGAGTGAGAGATTTGGAGAAGGGGGAGGGACAATGATATCATTTTTGTCGAGTTTGGGAATACTTGCATGGATTAAACTGACTATAGTAAAGTCACGTGTCCTACGCTTGGTTAGCAACTTAGACTGAGTCACGAACAATTCATTCACATATTTCTGAAGATCATATCCGTAGCTTTAACTCATCCGAATCATACAAAACTGATTCACTCAGGTTTCAAAAGTACCCCAGTAACAAAATCTCAGTCAGCCGACCTTGCTAGGTGAAATAGGGAATACACCGGCACAAAATATACCAACAAACTTCTAAGGGCGAATATGCTTTCTCTGGTATTTTTCTTACATTAAATGGTTTATTGCATGAAAAATTATCATATCTGAAAATCCAGAAAAATCCTTAGAGATGATTGAATGAATGATATTTCTCATTTTAATATAATCATATAGATAAAATACACACTTCACGAAGAAATAATAGCATTTCATAGGTACTAAAATTTATCGAAGGCCAATCCTATACTTACCAAGAAGACTTGCGAATGTATGGTATCTATACAGAGGCCTGCACCAGGGGGCAGTGTAAGATCTGTACATGGAAATACAGAAACAATATCCGCAACATCGATCTTGATTGGGGCTTTGTCAGTGCTTATTGAGCCTTCTATTCTTCCTGAAAGGCTTTGTGATAATTGCTTTGGTTCAGTTTTAAAGACCTGCAAAATTACAAAGAGAGGATAAATTTCTGAGAATCATCCAGATAGAATAGTTGCTGAATGTCGGAGTAACTGGGCCATCCAAAAGGAAGCCAATTGGCAGTGAGTGGAGCGGGCCCATCATACAATCGTAGTTTTACTTTTGGTATAAGGAACACATGACTATTCTTGAGATGCCCCATCACATGCAAGCTGAACTTCGGACCTATGTCACATGCAGTTCAAGAGCTACAATCATGACTGGTACCAAGTTAGCATTATTGGCCCATCCCGCTCAAAATTAATTGAAAATAACTAATGTCGGCCGTGTTACCATCACAATTTTATTTTTGTAATAACCAATATAGGACAATCTCATAATCACCTAAAACTATTTTTTAAAAAATTAATATGAATAACTTATTAGTATTCCACAAATAACGATTAAAGAAAAATAATGAAGAAGAAGGGGAGATTGATGAGAGAAAACAGTGGCTCAAAGAGAAAAGTTTCTTGCCAAACTTGAGCCTGAAGAGCCTCATATATTATAGGTAAAAAGATTTTACATAGATGACATACTCTTAATAGGCATAGCAAAGCTATGCGAATAAAACACTCCCCATGTAGACACCATCATCAAGCAGTTTATACTCTACCTTATAGTAAAAGCAAATTGGTTGTCCCCACAAATATTGATTGATATTTCATTTTTTACAAACTAGAGAAAGTCCTCAGATCTACTTTCCGAATTTGAATAAATAAAAAATCATGGAAAATTAGCTATAGCCATAATGAACTGTAAGCAAAATGAGATACCATGGATGAGCTGCATTTTTCGGGAACTTTAGTAGTTTCCTTTTAACACTGACAGAATCAATTATTGGGGGTTTAAGAAGGAAGCAGAGATCGATATCTATATATTCATAGAAAGCGCAAGATTCAAGATTGCTAATTTTCAAAAACAGGCAGATAGACTACATCGATAATAATATTCTGAGAAAATGTCTCAAGATGTTATTTCTAACCGTTGTAGGTGGCACAATTTATTGATGAGTATGGTGTGCTCAGAGGCATTAACTCCAATTACTGTGTTGGAATTTATAACCGCCCTCTACCCCCAATTTTAGTTTAATATTGAACGGGACCCGCGCTTTTCCTTCAAAGTTCAGCATTGTTTTAGATATTCATTTTATGTGCTTGATTATTGACATGCTTTTACATTTATACCAGAAGACTCTTCTGCAATGTCAGTCATTACTTCTTGAAAGTAAAACAACAATTGGCTGCTACTTTTCTTAGAACATCTATCATTAACCAGTAGAAGAACGCCACATTGAATGTTCAAGGGAATTGAGATCTTAATATTCAACTTACTCGTATAATTTCTGTAACAATCCATTATATGTGGAAGGACGTATAATTCCTTACAAACAGACAGACAAGCTATCACTATCAGAGAAGACAAATCATTTGTCTTGATTCAGGCATTCAAATGTGCCCACATCGTGGTGCATCACATTTTTTTCATGTTCTTCTCATAACGTCAATGTAATGATTCATGTGATTAGTAAATTGCATTCATATATTCTACGATATATTCAGAGTTAGTCAAAACTGATGGATTCAGATTTACAAGTGCATTGATGGCGAAACACGATGCCAAACCTATGTTTCTGCTCTTCTGTAAAGTGCTCTTGATACTTCTACAATTGCTTTGGCATTCAAAAAAATACCCAGCACACACTAACACTGAGACGAGTTCAAATTCATCAAACACAGAATTTCCATAACAATAAACAAAACAAGGCATCCTTGCACTAATGGAACCAGATAAAAAACTAACCTGCTGGATACCTTCATGATTCAGAACAAACGCTGACCTTTCCCAATCTCTGTGAGGGGCTATTGGGTTCTTTGCTGGGGGTGCAGTCAAGTATCCCATCTTGAGATAAGGAAGTGGAAGCTGCAAAAAGGAACGCCACTCACAATGAAAAATCACAATCGAATCAATCTGCCAAAATCGTTGAGTTTCATAGTATGTTATTCATCCACGGTATTTTTCAACAGAATGAGATCTTGCTTACTATAGAAGTTTCCAAAGGTTCTAAAACTGCTTGCTAAAAAGGCACCGAATATTGGTAATTCAATAATGGAAGGTACAATACTAGGAGAGCAAGTTAATAAAAAGATATGATAGATTAACGTATAAAGAAATTGGTTCTACTATAAAAGTAAAGGCTTTATACTTTTGCAAAAACAAGAGATTATTGCTGCTAAATCAGTAAGGACCTTGAAATTAGAACTGCAATTTCATACGCAAACTATGATAAATTAAAAATATAAGGAAAAGAATAAGAGAATAGGCTAAAGAAAAATGTTTAGTTAAGTGATGGTCCATGTGGTACCCAAAACGTCGGAAATAAAATGAAAACAAAACATGATATAAAAAATGATTAACAAGAACACATTTGGATAACATGCTTTCTCATTTGTGAGCTATTCATTTGATCGTGGACACATGAATGTGGTTCATACAACCATTAATCAAAACATAGATGTGTATGAATACCAACTTTCCGAGTTACCTATTAAAACATAAATGTGTATCAGTCCAAGTCTAAATTATTGCCATGTAAAAATAATTTAGAGAACTAGCTCATAGTAGTCATGGTTGTTATTTTCTTCCGAATATATTCTTGAGAAGTTCCACTTCCTTTCACAAATAAAAGCAACAAAAGAAAACTCCTTTAGGAAAGACAATACTGACCATTGACCGAACAAGTCTCAGGGCACTACGATAAACCTGCATAATGCAGTTACAGATAAAATATTAGTTTCCTGAAAAAAATTATAAATACGGTTAAGGGACAAGAAAATGTGTACAAAATTAAAAACAGGCTATCCTTTCATGCAGAGACTTGAGAGGAATATTAATGCCAAAAAATGGAGGTAGTGTATACTGATTGGTTTCAGGTACGAATCAATAAAAAGAATGAAGATGCATGAGTGCTTAACATCGAAATTCTCTCCCTTGAGAACAGACCTAGATATGATGTTGTATTCAAATATTAATAAAGAACAGGTGAAGGAGTCCAAAATAATAGAGAAGAAAAAGGCGTCCAAATAGCTGGCACATTTGTTTAACAATGAGGTGGTGAACGACAAAAAGCAGATGATTCCTCTAAAACTGTAAAGATTCTCGAAATTACAGAAACCTGGGTGCATTTCATCAAGATAAACAAACATATTCTTTCACAGGCATTTTAAATCTTAATATTCCCAGTGACACTTCTACGAAAACGAAAGCAAAGGTATCAAGGACTTGGTTATTTGTGAGATTTATGGGAGAACCCTTGTCTTAAATCTGTTACTTTTTTCCCCTCTTTTTTCATTTTTTTTGGGGGAAGAGGGGGGATTTGGGTGGTGGTAGAGGGGGAGAGAGGAGGGAGGGAATGCACGCACGTTCACCCAGAATATCCTCAGAGAATCAACTCTTTGTACGGATATAAATTTTCACGTCGTCATGAACAAGAAGCAATATGTGAAATTACCGAGTATGTTGGCTTCAGGGCATGAGCAGCTGCAATATAGATAGCTGACTGGCTGTAAAGTTCATTAGAAACTTCTTTCGCATTAATTGGTCTTCCGGATCTTGATGTATCTTCTGCTAAGGCATACTGGAGAGTACACATAAGTACATAACCAGAAAATTAGTAATAAGCTTTATTTCCGAGTGGATGAGGGTAGAAAAAAAATCTACACCAAAAAAAACAGTAAGCACAAAGTAATTTATTAGACTTAATGGCGCTAAAATTATACAGGTTTGGGGAGAGTTATTACACACCAAAACAGTGCCAAGATTGTAAATTGCCCGATGGAAATCAAACTGTAGCTGAATGGCTGCACGGAACTGGCACATTAGGAGAATACACAAATTAATGCAATTGAAATATATGGTTCTTTCCAAAAGAAATATATACGTGTATAAACGATTCTAAAATTATTAGAAAACACAATCTTTTACCTTGCTTATTGCACTTTTCACAATAGTCTGTTTCTCTCGAATAGGAACAATGGCACTGAGTTCCTGAATGGCAAAATCACAATTCATCATGATATATACATAATTCAAAGAACCAAAACTGTAAAGTATGTTCAGACACTGACAACAGGTACGGCTACTATAAAAAAATGTTAACAGAAACAGTTGACTGACAAAAACGTTGATAACATGAATATTTAATGGTATACGGTCTTGTCAAATCCACTTACTTGTAAAGCAAGTCCCCAATTGTTAAGTGCCTGTTGCAAACAATACAATGAAAATCAGGAAAGCCATACCTGGCTTAAATAAATGATGGAAAGAGAGATTATAGGAAAGCCCACAAAGAACAGATCTAGATGGACGGTATGCGAGTGTTTATTCAACGGTGATTGTTGTGAAAGTAAAGGAAAAGTAAAGGAAATAAAGGAAATTTTCTCTTCAGATCAACAGACGGAAAGTCCAGATCATGATGCATTTAAAGACAAGGGATGCACTACGCACATTGTAGATGTTTTCTCCTCAGGATGGCATTTGTATCAGGACGACAGAACATCCACATGATACACGATGATAAAATAGATTTTACTAGCTTTGGTAAGTTAATTTTGTCATTCCCTGATTTTCTGAAGCAAATTCGACTCTTTGGACATTCTTAAAGTTACTGAGACCTCAAGAAGACAATTGTTTTCTCCAGAGTATCCTAAGAATCAAGTTAATTCGTTCATAACGGACCACTGTTTCTCTCCCAGTACGGAGCACAGCAGCAGGGAGGATCATTTTCTGAAAACTTATATTTGGCTGATTCAACTAGGCACAGACCCCTTCGCCAGTCCAGCATCAAGAGATTCACAGATCAACTCCATGAAATTGAGAGTGTTTGCCATGTGATATTGACAGTTCTAAACTTTATGAGAAGGTGATCAACTTGTTCGATATTAAGCCGTCTTAATATAAAGAATCTTAATTTTGATACAGATCATGACAGGGGAAATATTTTTACTCCAAACATTACACCCTTTGTTCTCAAAAGCTCTGACATAAAGTTTAACTTTTGAGAACTTACTTTATTCCTTGTTCTTTATCAAGCTATCATCTCCTTCACTTGAGTGAATGCCACCCAATGTACTAATCCATTCCATAAATAAGAGCTACGCGTGGCATCTTTCTAATTTCAATATTCCAGATACCTCTTGATGCAGTCTTGCTTCAAGAAGAAACAATTTTGTGACGGTTGACGAAGATCAAAATATGCTATCTGAAATGCTAGGGATCTTCCAAAAAACATTCCTTCATATAGATAGAGCATCCATATTTACTATCATATATCCGTCCAAATGCTACAATTAACAGACTAAAGAAGTACCAAGTTGAATACAATGATATTCTCAACGTCCTCAAATATTATATTACTCTTATTCCTAAGAAGAGCCAGGTAACAAGTTCAAACCAAGGAAAATTATCTGCACTTCGCTACATTCATATCATAACCAAAACACCAGCTTCTAGCAGAAAAGGAATGAAAAGTTATTTTAGCGCTTATTTGCATCTGCATATATAAAAGAAAGGGTTACTCTGCACATCCTTCTCAATAAATGTATACATACTCACGGTGCAGGAACTTTTATTGTCCAATGAAGCAAAGGATTAAGCATTTGTCGAGAATTAAAACAGAAAATCAAAATGAACAAAACATGATTACGACTTTCCATCGCATGAAACAGAGTGATCATGCAACGCAGGGCAAATATTTGACGCATCAGCATCTGTAATTATTCAGAATCCTTGAAAAAAGTACGGACGATCTCCCAGGGCTTTTGATTTCAAAATTGTACACCATTTATTATCATTGATAAAATTGTGGTAACGAAAGGAAAAATAGCGACCCATCTCATGTCAATCAAGGAACATGTCATGCACTTTTGTATAGCTGCAGCCTTTTACTACAGAATTTACAGCTCTTAGAATGGTTTCTACAAGTGAATACAGAAGACATGATATGTTGGGGCTAATAACTATAAAGACTAAGACATCACAAAGTGAAGAAACATCCAATTCGATTCAAGGTCTATATTTTCTATTTTCTGTCGAACATATGGATAAACAGAATTCAGTTCTTTCCATAAGTAAAATGACTCTCATAAGTAGATCCTGTTAAAAGCACAGCAATACACATGAATCTCACAGTAACTAGAAGAATGTATACCTGGGGGCTATTCCAATTAAGTTGAACGGCCTTCTCATATTTTCTAGTTGCCTGCAAACAAAAAGCAATAATGTGTTATTCTAAACCTCACTGGTACTCAAACCTCCACATCCACATCATATTCTACTGGTAGACCGTACTTTCATGAAACTCTTGGCCGGTATATGATAAATAATAGTAAAAGAACCTTCCGCAGGTCAGAACGTTTAGAAACTTGCATATTTGGCAAATACTGAAAAAAAAGAAAAAAGAACTGCAGAATGTGTTATCTAAAATTTCGGTGATTCTGGAAAGTCACCAGAAAACCTTGCTTTCATGTCCGAGGGCAAATCAAATGAGTAGACTAGAATCAAAGAAAAATTTGAAAAAAAATATATATAATAATTTCTGGGTAACTCTGAAAAAGAAAGCCTGACTGGGTGATAGATATGCCTCATGCCCATATTTATTCACGGTATCAAAGCTACATAGATTCTGGCGTTTAATTTAACATAAATTAAACCATGACATGAACTTGGATGATTGTATATATCTAGATATATAATTAACAAAATATGCAACATTCTTTCTGTCCAATAATTTTAGTCCTCCCTGCGCCTAGTCTATATAAGTTATCTTGATCATTCTTATAAAAAGACACTGTTGGGCGATCTGAGTATTAGCATGTTGGTTCGATTTGCAGTAACGATTAGACCCCTAGCAAAAACAATTCCCTATCAAAGCATGTTGGCGCACTCCAGAAATTGAATCTATTAATGCAGCACATATGCAGCAGCATGAGTTTAATAATTTGCCTGTCTCCATAGTTCCTCCGCTTCCTTAGTACGACCACGAATTTTGGCCCGATCAGAGATTGCAATGGCCCAATTATAGAATGCCTGATGAACGAAAATTTTTGAGTACTGAGCAAAAATTGATAACTCAATAAATATGACTTTGAAAGTAGATAACAGAAAATCAAGCATATCATGTACGTCAGAGATCGAGATGAAGATCATAGAGAGTGAGAGAAAGGAAGAAATTGACAGCATGAGAGGAAGAGATTATAAAGATGAGAAATGGAAAAAACACCAAGTACAATCATCAGATGCAATTTTTTTAGGGAGAAAAAATAAAGAGCCATGAGCAAAACAAGTCTTGAGGAAAGAGAGGCCTCGTAAGTTAGAGAAGGTTTCAACATGAGAAACTGTCTAAATATGCAGTCAGTTGTAAGAAAGAATGCTGTGTGAACTGATCAACTTTTCTCTGCTATGAAGGATGAGTAATGTGGTATGCATGTTATGTTAGATCTTCTTTGAATGAGTTTCAACATGAAGATATCCAATTACCAAATGGAACAAATTCTCCAATTTTAAAGGGGAAAGCAATCTGTTGCAAAGAATAAGGGCAGCAATTACAAGGAATGTACCAACAGAAGGAAATATCCCTGGAATGCATTGAATATTATAAAACTGTCCATTTTTCCTCACAATGATTTCTTATCTAAAAAGATAAGGACTAGGAACCTTGTTCTATTTTGTGATCAATGGAAAAGGAAAAGGTGCACAAACTATGACTGGCTAATGTTTACGGAAAAGGAGGGTACTTGGTGACCTAACTCTCTCACCTTGATAAACACCCCTAAGATTATATTTGTGAGCTGCAAATTACTTAACCTTTCTTTTTTCGTTATTCTGTGTAACCTGCCGGTAACCTATACCAAAAATACCACAAGGAAATGCAGAGATGTCGATACCACCATAACCAGTTAGAAAGAAGAAGAATCCATGTAAAACATTCCAATTCATAAATGGCATAAGAGGTTAATAAGGTAGAACAAGTTGATGACAATCTCAAAAATAAGGAACAAATATCGGTATGAATGACTAAGCAGCCCTGATATCAACAACTACTTGTAGGGAAGACCAAGAAAACATGCATCAGGAATTCAATATAGGTAAGAAGCCTAAAAACATACAATGATCAGTAACCATTAAGAAGCGAGCATAGCTCGAAATTGCAAAGCCTTGTTATGAAATTAAATATGATGAGAAAAGAAATATCAAGTCAAACATAAAAATTACCAGTAAAACAATGCATGCAAAATCGGTCAGATATAGAAAAGAGTATATACAATCTTCTTGAAGATTGAAATCAAGTTCCAAGCAGGTATTAAAGACTCAGAGGACGATGAAAAACAATATATGTGAAAAGAAACACACATCCTGAAGCGTAGGACAAAGTCGAGTGGCCTCATCATATTTCTTGCAAGCCTCCTCAAGTAGTGCATCCTTTGAGGTTGAACTAGAATCTGGACTAACATTATCAGCACTTTCCTGCAACGAAATAAATCATTAGAATGCAGCTTGTTGAACGGACACCACAGAAGAAAATGTCAAACAAACAGAGGAAATTTTTTGATGTTCCACAATCCATCTTTTGAGGAGAAAGACATGGTATTATGAAAATGAAAAAAAACTACATGAAGTTCAAGGTCAGAAGAAGTTGAAGGGAAAAAAATGTTCCATTGAATTCTGTGGTAAGCAGCAGAAGTAATTACAGCAACTGGAATACAAACTGAGAGAAAAAATGGCAACTAATTTGCTAGCTAGCATAAGCCAAAAATAATGACACATAACCCTCGTAAAATTAAGAGTACTTTTCCACACATTCATACAAAGGTTTAACGATCGTGAAATATATCGAAAACAGGATATCTCTAGCTACAGTATAAACAAGACTCAGATTGTGAGAATGAGCCTTTTTAGGGTAGATGGTACTAAATTTCATACTGAGTAAAGATGGAAATCGGCAAACCCCAAACTATAGGTTCGAAAAGAGAAACAAATTTTTCATCATGTCCTATACCCAGTCCTATGCACACATATATCACCCTGAAAATGCCACATACAAAGACTATGCATAACCTTCCGAAGGTTCAAGAAGAGTATTGAGTCTCTTCTCAAGTTTTTGGGGGATCCAATCACCCAATTACAGAGAAAACAATATTAATTCCACCAATTCTGATATCAAGGAAACTGAAATGGAATACATTCCAGCAGCCTATAAACTCTTTTTATGTTGAAAGCATAGGGAATTTTACGCGTCAAGGCTGGGCTAGTTGCGTTTTGTAAAAATATACTTTTTCCTTACACTAGTCTTTATCATGTTTATTCAAAGTAAATCGAAAAGATTTGACTGTGGCTAAGTGCATGCGGCTGTATAACAAATTCAACCAAATTTCTAGCTATTTTTCCCTAGATTCTCGACTCTACTTGCAAATCGCATTGAGTTCTGAAGAAAATTTAAGTCGATGTGAGCCTCTACATCCTACATATCAATCTTATCATCATATAAAACACTTCTCCCCAACACTTCGGAAGACAATAAGCTGTTCTCAATTTTGAAGCATTCCCTTTTTTCCTTCTGGCATTATAATAGCAACTGCTATCATCCTGTTAACAAGCAGAACGAGGGGAGATACCTAAATGGGAGGTTTGAAAAATAATAGCTTAAGAACTTGAGAATAAAGGTAGATGAAAGTGACAAGAAATAAGATGGGACACTAACAGGTTGCTAATTCAATTAGATTTGTTCATTCTAATTCAAAACATCCACTGACAAAAGTCAATAGGAATATGTGGGCCAAAAAATCATGAAAAATTGAATAAAAGTACATAAATAAGCGATATTCAGTTTATTGACTTCGCCATTCCATTCTACATTCGGGACCAATTTAAATCTTTACAAATCATAAGGTTAAGGTGAATCAGTCTTCTCCCAAATTACATAAGAGGACTGATCCATTGTCCAATACTAAGGATAAGGAATGGTAAATTAAAAGTTTCAAGGTTCTGATACTGAAGACGATTTTTTTCTGCATACGACATCTCATGGAGAACCATTTGAACATGAGTAGCGACTTCATGTTAAACAAAAGCTCTATTACCCTAACCCAGGACTCCAGGATATCCAGACAAGAACATGAAAGATAATTGGGTAAAATCTCCATTCTTTTTTCTTTCTTTCCATATTTCTTCTTTCCCTTTTTGCATATTCTTTTATTCGCTTCCCCCAGAGATATGCAGATCAGTTCTGTTGACTGCAATGTCGATGTTTCAAACCCTGCAGAACTGTTCTACAGAGGTGCAAAGTTTTCATGAGTCAGATTGTATTTCAAAGTTGATTAAAGTATAGACATTGGTACCACCGGTGTTGCTGCAGAATTAGCCATCCAAGTCAAAACCAATTGACAATGGTGGAGTGACGGTTTCTTTTTGGAAAAACACATTCTACTAGATCAATCTGGTACGCTCCACACCCAATCCATCTTTACAGGTGACAGTGTGTTGGATTCACATTTTTTCCAGTAACCCAAACCATTCTTTTTCCTAGGCTACCAATCCAACCATCTTAATCCAGTTTCTAAGTCGAAGTCCTAAATAACCCAAAAATTCAGATAATAATGGGTAATGGAAAAGGGACTTTCAGTAATCCATTCTTATGCCAATCTTGATTCCAAAACCTTAGCCCAATCTCATAGGAAAAAAAGATGTGACCTTGCATGCAGAACAATCTAGAGGTCCATATAACTAGCATAGAGCCTGCCGTATCTTGGCAAGGAACCTACTCCATAATTTTTCGCTCATCCTATAAAACATTTTGTGGGTCCTCTCCATGGATGGAAAGAGTATACATAAAATGATCAGGGAACCCACAACCCCCGATATAAAGTACATAAGAGAACCCAAGCTTAACCTGAAGGACCAATGCCCAGTTGTAATATGCATCATGGTCCCCTGGATTTCTCTCTATAGCAGCAGCATACCTACAACAGCAAAAGTTTGCATAAAGATGAGTTTATGCGGGACAATCTCAATGAAACAATATGTAAGCCATTACCGCAGTTACTCAGAATCAATGTACGAGAAAGACAAACCATACAACGAATCCTAAGGAGTCAAACTATTGCCAAGCAATATATTATATCATTAGCTGCAATTTTTAAGGTCAGTAATCTGGTAAGCCGTCCAGTTTGTAGTATAACAGAGATTTGAGAGTCTATGCCTTTGTTATGAAACTAGAAATGAAATTATCATTACTGTAATTTTTTTGTTGGATAACTAATTGAGGATTCAAAGAAAAGTTTCAAAACCTTTTTAGATTGGTCGATCAGAACTGTTATAAAGAAACCAGAAACCAAATGATTTGGCCAAAGTTTTTATTGTTCTCACAGATATATTGAAGCAGAAGAAGGGCATTGCATCTGACACAGCCAAGGTGGACAGCAGAGAAGACACATCGACACTAGGTTTTTCAACAAGGAAAAGAGTGTCCAGACTTGTGCTTGCGAATGCAGATACCTTCAGTAAGGAATCAGATAAACTTCCGCTGTCCATTGTAAAACAGTAAAAAGGAATGTGTTGTTAGCAAGCATTTGCGTGAGACCTAACTAATTAGAACCCTCAATCAAGATTGAGGAAGGAGAATCTGGCTCAAAATTCTTTCTTGATAGATGCAAAGACCATCACTTTATCGAGTGGAAACCGGAAGTCACCGTTCTAAGGGACCACTCAAGAATTGATGTTTGTGAAACTTGGCAAAAGGCTCCTTTCATCTTTTTGAACTATTTACATTACAGTGCATATTGTACAGATTTCAGCGTTTCCAAGAAAGAGAGAGAACTAGAAAAGATGAAGAAGAATAAAGAAGATTCAAAACAAATATGATACATGACTGAGACCATATACTTTCAAGGACATCAAAGAGTGCCTTCCTAATTTTAATGACGGAGAAATGTAGAAATAGCAATCATCAGATGACTCTTGATTTATAATCGAAATTGTGACTATGGAATCTTATGGTTTATGATGAATGGTTGTTTATACATTAGATTACTCGATAATCGTTGTCTGAAATTTCTTATAATAATGTCTAGAAGATGTATAACTTATCCTTCATAAAAATCATCCAATGGACTATCGACAATTGAATACTGGTTGTACTAAAGAATATGATTGAGCCCATTACATGTATAAAGGTCTGGTTTTGATCCATTGCTGTACTTGTAAAGTTTTCTGTTAAGAGGTAAATGACCCCTAGCGACTAACGATTTTTTTTTAAGAATCATACCATAGCAGTCCATCCAATGGCCATGTCAATATGTACGTTGTAGATGACACTTGTGGTCAAGAGTGGTATCATCATCTATTTTCAGTCTTTCTTTTCAGGACACATAAATACCTCTATAACTGAAGAAATATGGTCCAAATTTCCCATACTTGTATAAATAAGGAATGATCACGTCAGTTGCACTATGACACTATGAATGCATGTTTACGTTCATGTTGATAAGGGGATCTGTGGCATCCAATCTCAAACCTATTAAATAGGAGATGGGTTTCAACCAAATAGCAAAATGAACTTTCAAAAGTACGATAGTAAATCATGGAATTGGGTAATTATGGCAGTACATGACTCTTGACCATCCCCATCCAGCACCTAAGGAACAAAAATAACACATGATGTTCTCCGATTTTTTGCCTTCAGAAGATTCTATGAATTTGAACATGTAAATCGTAGAAAAAATACCATTATTTAGACAGTTAAAATGCCAATAAGCAATTTGAAACCCGTATGATTGATAGAAGGTCAATCAGCAAACAATTCAATACTTGTTACATCTCACAAATTTATTTAAAGGTAAAAAGTAACAACAGCTTAGGTAACTGTATACTTATCAATATGATTAATAGGCTCCATAAAAATATCAATTGAACTAAGAGTTTTCACTTTAAAATATACTGGAGCATATGATACTATCATTTTAAAATAGTTATCAATAGTAACACAGTACACGAATTTTCAGTTTACATGAAAAGAAACAATACTGCAAAACAGGCATGCACCTATGGATTACACACTCCTGTATTATTACCTTCTAGCAGCAAAAGTTAGTATTCTTTGGCGAGAACGACCCTCCTCATTTATGCCTGGAACATTACTAATCAAGTCCATGGCAGCATCATTCTGATCCATAAATTGCTGACGTAGGCTATCCGTACTGATAACAAATATTCAGAGGAAAACGAGCACATACATTATTCAGTTGATGATGATCCTAAGCAACAACAACGCCTAATCAGAAGAAAAATATTTCCAAAAAAAATTGACTTAAAATGAACCCACATAACATCCAATGTACACGAAGAAACAAAACCCATCATCAAAGTTTGATACATCAAACTAGGCCATCCGATTGATTTTACCTAAGTCCAAAAAGATTCTAGTAACTTTATTCGGCTGCTGTCCTGTCACCAGCACTCCACAGTTAACAAGATGAGCTGGTCATAAATTCCTTAACAGGGATTGGAGCCACGAAGGATATTTTAAGTTTAACCAGTAATGTTTCCAAGGCTTTCGAGATCATGATCACCAAAAGACAAGTAGACACAAAACTGATCTCAATGGATACCAGAAATGGGTAAAAATAGAACCAAATTTCTCAAATAAAATCCTAAAGGTCTAAGATCATATACTACTGAAATGTTTTATACATGGATTAATCTATAAATGTTAAAGTTCAAAAAAGAGTTGACTAAGTATAACTATATGAGGGAGAACATTTATGTAATGTTAAAAAATATCACCCTTGAGACGGCCTTCTGGTATGAAAAGGTGGGTAGGTTTTTGTTGCCTTCTGGGTGGAAAAGATATTTATCATTTTCACAGCTTCCTATGCATCTTTATATGATTTGGTGGGAGAGAAATAGATCAATATTTCAAAAGTACAAAAAAAAGGTTCAGGACATCAACAACAGAGCACTTTGGCTTTATAAAAAATTGGCATATGAAACTGACACATGGAACCAAAGAAATCCGTCCTGCTCCAATATTATAAGAAGGCAAGATTTTTTTTTCCTCCTAGAGACTTCTCTAGTATACGATTAACTGCCCAATTCTTGTACTTTTCCATGTCACCAGTGATGTTTTTTAACTTCATTATTTTTTTTAATATACTAAGTTCAAATAGTGTTCAATCTTTTATTCGTTTTAAAACGACCTTGGTTCTTTGCAGATGGGTTTCACATCACAGTTTTTAAAATTACTAGTGGTTATCCCCACCCGCAGATGAATGTTGTGCAGAAAGTCGAAGCAAACCTTATAATAGAAGGCTGTTTATTCATTTAGGGCAGGTTGAAAGAAAGGGTCAGGACTTTTCGGATGGACAATTTTCCGTAATCTTGAGTACTTTGAGCGGCTATCACATCTTACACCATAAAAAAGGCCAAAACATGTCACTTCACCTTTGACGGGGTGGGGTTCAGGAGCAGAACACCAATGATTCATAGGAGAAGGATGAAATACATTAATATCGAATATTACATGCTTAAGTTTGATACGCATCCATGATTGTTTCAATTAAATTATGTGAATCAGTTACAATTATAAGAGAAGTCATCACCATTTAATACAAGGAGACCAGGTAACCTGACCAAGGATAAAGAAAAAGTCAATGATAAACCAAAAAAATTCTGAAACAAGGGCAAAACAGATTACATGATAAAATCGAACTCTACTAACTCCAACAGGATTCTGACATGTTAGATCGAAGACAGATCCGATCCCAAGGAATCAGACTCCACATATGTAAGAAAAAAGTAAGTCTTTCCCTACCAAGCAAACAATTCTATCCCTCTTCCTGCCTCTTTCTTCGTGATAAAAAAAATTATTTTCAAAATTTTAAGAGGCATGTTTAGCATTGCTGATCAGTGATCAGTGTTTAGTTTTAAGAGATATTGCTGATCAGTGCTTAGTATTGAATTATTTTCCTGGGAAGAAATTAGTCACATATCATAATATCCTCAATAAATTCCGTGGGAAATGAAAATGAAGTTAAAAGCCAAATGAATACAATGCTCATTGTGAGATTAACAATTACTGGCCTTTGTTGCATCTTGTAGTCCAGATGTTTTAGTATGTCGTATTTCGCTTTAGGATTGCGTCCCTCTGAGTCCATTAATTATTCCTCACTTCCTCATGGAAAGTAAGCAACCTGACTATTTCATTTTCCAATGCATCCTCTGTGCATCATCAGTTATCAGTATATAAACTTGCTTTTTCTTTGATACCTACTATGAAGTCTTTATGTATTCCATCAAATGATTCATGTAAACACTACACGAATGTTCTCCAAGTTTTTCCCTATCTTTCTACGTCGTATAGACAAGAAATAGCACGTACATTTCGTCCTCCGAAGTGTTCGAAAATTTACATTATGAAATGATCTATGCTATACAAGGAATTCACTGTGCTAAGCACGAAGCAACAGTCAGGTCAAGAGCATACGCGATGTACAGCGTCTAAATAAGAAATATGCAACTCGATTCTACATTATGGAATGAAAACTTTATAGACAGGAAACAGTACGCACGCAAGCTTCATCCTCTAACGTATTGAAGTTTACATCCGGTAATAGTCTTGATTGAACTAGTGATTCCCTCAGCTAAGCACGAAGCAACATTCAGGCCAAGAACATACACAATTCATGGTGTTTGAATGGAATGAAAATTATATAGCAAACTGAAAGATAGAAAGAATCCACTGAAACTGAATCAATGGACGACAATTATGGAAAGCTTATATGTTTAAACCAAAGCCATTCAACTTTGTATGAACTTGAAAAACAATATTTTAATCCCTGCCTTGAACTGAGACACTGCTATAAGATGTCGCCTGAATTGGATCATCCCAACGAATAAATACCAGAAGAAGTCGAGGAAGAAACTATCGCCAACCTGTAAGGAGAGTTGTCGTCTCTCCGGCTCCCCTCCGTTGTCGATTTCTCCTTGGCCAGGCCCTTCCGTTCCGCCACCTCGCTCAGCAGCTCCCTCATCGTGAGAGCCTGACTCCCCCCTCCAACGGACAGCGGCTCCCCCCCTGGGCTGGGGGGGGATGGCTTTTCCTCGAGAATTTCGGATCTGACCACATTCGCTTCGGCAGCAGAAGCAACAATACCAGCGTCTTCTTCTCCTTCCCCGGCCGTGGCAACGGCAACCGGTTCGAGCCCGTTGGACCCCTTCTGCGTCACCCCACCCGTAGGCGGTGGTGGCTCATCCACGCTTTCGGATCTGACCTCTACATCCTCGGCGGGATCAGTGAGAACATCAACAGGTTGTCCTTCCTCGACGGTGGGAATGGCAGCTGGTCCGACACCATTGGCTCCCTCCGGCAACAGTCCGCGGTCCGGCGTATCCTCGCCGTCAGTAGCCACCGATCCGAGATCGGGAGTGGCCATTTCCGCGGCGGAGACCAGATTCCAGGAGGGGACGCAGGAAGGAAGGCGGAGGCGGGATGGATGAACAGCTGGGGAGGGGCTGAGCTTGGCTGGTTGCCGCTTCTCGGATTCAGAGAAATCCCGTGGACAACTGCAGGTGCCGCTCCTCGCGCAGAGAGAGAGAGAGAGAGAGAGACGTTAAGAAAACTGTCAACCCGGGGACGGGGCTCAGATGAAAGAGATGAATGACTCGGCGAGTCGCCGCCGTAACTCGCTTCACTCACCTCCGAGTCGCGCTCCCAAGCTATGACGTCTTCATTCATGACTCGTTTTGTCATCATCCTCCCTCGCGATCTTCTAAGAGGCCAGTAAAAGAGTATAAGTACAAATATATTATCTCTCATGGAGCATATTGAACAATCACTTAAATATTAATCCCTAGTTTGCATCGTTCTACAGCAAGGGAAATAATTGTATGAAATTTTAATGAAGAGGCTGTGGAGAATGACACAATTATTCATAAAATTCCCGTACATTTGCAAATACAATCATACCATTCGGTGGATAGAATCGTCCATTTTTCAAAAGTGGTGTTAATGGGCCGATTTCAGGCCCACTAATAAAATGGGCGATTCTACTCTCTCTCTATCTCTCTCTACGAGTTCATTTAAGTAGACGAATAGCCCGCGTTGACGTTGAGATAATCCTGCTCTCTCTCTCTCTCTCTCTCTCGCTAACACCTCCAGAGCAGGTATGAGATAGGGGGGTAAATATTTCGGATTAAGAAGAGAGCACACTTCTTTCGGCTTCCACAACGGCGACGACGAAGTGGGTGATGGAGGAGAGGTGTAGGGCAGCAGTAGCTAGGGAGGAGGAGGTTTCAGAAAGGGAGAGGTGGGAGGGAGGTCGGTTTCAGATCTTGCCGTGGAGGGAGAGGACGAGGTCGTGGGCCTCGTCCAGGAGCCTCCAGACGTCGAGCCGCCCCGCGAGAGCGTTGCACTCCCGCAGAATCTCCTCCGCGCCGCCGTCCTCCTCGATGATGAGCTTCCGCCGCTGCAGCACGCAGGCGGCGATAGCGTACAGCAGGAGGTCCTCTGTGGGGGGAGACGCCCGCCGCTGCCGCACACCAGCGTGCACCGCCGCCTGGTCCGCCCACAGGACCTCCCACAGGCACAGCGTCTGCTCGAAGGATAGCTCCCGACGAAGGAGCACCACCACCATGCGGTACGCGAAGGCGCAGTCCGCCGCGCGGTGCCGCTCCAGGTGCCGGAACAGCGCGGCGTCCCTGTGCCGGATGATCCGCGCCACCACGCCGAGCTGCCGCCGGATGCCCGCCTCGTCGAGCCGGAAGTTGTGCCTGGCCCGCCTCATGAAGCCGGCGAAGCACCAGAATGCCTCGCTGTCATCCTCCACCACGGCGGCGATCGGGGACAGCAGGTCCCCCATCCCCTGACAGTAGCCGATCTCCGGGTCGTATATCGCGTACGCCTCCAGCACGGCGACCAGGCGGGCGGCGTGGTGGACCCTGCAGGGCTCCAGGTCCTCGTAGTCCTTCAACCCCACCGCCTCCGCCGCCCCTCGCGCCGCCTCCGCCGTGTGGTGGCCTTTACCAGAAGATGGAACCCACTCCGCGCGCAACGCGTCTAGACGGATAATACGCTGCCATTTGGCGTAGTCCTCGACGGCGCAGGCTGGCGTGACCGGAGTCGCCTCCTCAGAGCTCGGATACCGGGCGTGACTCCCGCCGGCGGTTTTCTTCAGTTCCTGGTGACCATCGTCACTCCCACCCCTCAGGAGTCGCAGGCACCGCTCCCTCAGTTTCTCGTACTCTTCCCTTGAATTTTTTCAATAAAAAAAAACATCGATGAGAAGACATTATTCGATCGATCAATCATGCGAGGAGAAGAAATCGAGGGTGGAGGGGGTTCTCTGACTACCTTCTCCGAGCTCTAGACTCGTTTCTTTCAGCCTCTGTACTGCTCAAGTCGTACCTGCAGATTTTTTTTCGATAAGATCACATCATGAACTTATAAACAACATGAAGAACTTTGCAGGTCATTAAACAAGATTGCCCATGAAAAATGAGGAGCCGAGTATTCTGGAATACGGGCCTAAAGAATATCAGCAAACCAGACGGATTAACTATGGTGAACGAGTACGATAGCGCATGCTATGAGAGTTCAGGCTCGCTGCAGCTGCTCTAGGAGGTGGATCTCCAGATGCATGCACATGAATCTACGAGCGTGGAAGGACTCAAGAGGCTACTACGTTGGGTAACAGCCATGGAAAGAGCACCAAATTGCTGTACAACTAATAGCAAGACAATGGGAGAGAGCCTGAAAAGGATTTCCGCCTTCAGACATTGCAGGAATGTGGACAGAACACAGATTATACACCGTAATGAATAAAGTTTTAAGCAATGACCAACAACTCTTTGTTGCAGATGGCAAGTCGTGTGCGATTGAATGGGAAATATTCTGGGAATCCAAGGATGACATAAGCCAAAGTATCTTACACTTGATCGAACCTTCTCATAGCGATGAACAGTTTCTATGTAAATGAGAATATATTGAGTCTAATGCCACTAACACACCCTTCGGGCCATTGTGTTTCATGTTCAAAACAAAGAGACATCACATGCATTGTACTATAACAATTAAACACAAATTCTACGAGAATTATCTCAGGAAAGAAAAGTCTGCCCCTAGCTGAGGTGTTACGAAAATTGCAACATTTCAGACAAAGGTTAACAACAGAAGACAAGGTAGTAATCGGTAACAGGTATCATAAGAATTCAGATACCAAATAGATTTATCACGTCAGGGAAACTTTCACCCAAAACGCTCATTGAGTAACTAAAAACGTGTAGACATTCGTTGCATAAGATTTTAAAGTGCAAACCTAAAGTTAAATCATATATATGCAACATCTTCATCAAAAAATATTCCCATCTAATGCTGATAGTTATGCAAGAAAATTGATACTTTATTATGGTAGGGAAGCCCCTTCAACTTCGAAGGTTTGAGATGCAACCCAGATGAGTGAAAAAAACCTAATCAGCATTAAACAGATAGAAAGGTGCTGCATTTAGTCAGCATTGAAAATTGCAAGCAGACATTTGATCTGACCCAACCGATTCGAATCATTTGTAGGAAAGAGGTTTAAAATTTACGCCAATAGATCGTTAAAAAGCTGTCAAATGCAGAGCAGAGAAAAAAAATGATGTCCGGTCTAAAAACATCCGTATTATAAAATGGCAAGAAGGGTGTTAAATTCACGTACATTAAATTCAAACAAATAAGGTGAATCTCAATGGAAAAGTTCTTGAAAAGTCAGAAATCTTACACGCCAAGGAGAAAAGGCCAGACTTCAGCCCTGATTCCTGGCTCTATGCCCTGGATCATATAAGTAGATAGCATAAGAACATCCGTTGAAAGCAAAATACAAATTAATACAGAACAATCATTGGGTAACAAAATCAAGACGAGTGAGTAATAAGTCCACAACAAATTGAGGGATAAAGAAAATGTGACAAGTGCTCACTCCATTGCGAACTCTTTTCAGAAGCTTCACTTTATCTTGAAGTTTTCCATCTGGTGAAAATAGATTGATCCACTGCTGAAAAGATAGAGGATGCTTTCTTTTCATCCGGGTCCATGGTGATCTGAGGCCACCTCTGCATGTCAGCAAGAAGGTCACAACCCAAGCTTTACATCGACTCATAAACAAAAGAGAAGGGGATGGAAAATACTGTATAGAACGTGAGATTATCAGGTTTTCATTAAAAATGCATTCACATAAATCTTATAATACCAGGAATTCATGGCATCCTACAAAATAAAGCTAACTTTGAGGGATGTAAGGCCAAATCGCGATAATTTCATCCTCCGAGAGTTAATTGATCCAAACATGAATGACAGAGCGTGAAAGCAGTAAATAGTATCCGAAAAGCCCTATAACCAAGAGAAACGAACATATCCCAATGAAATACCCCCCTAATTCTCTGTGATAAATGTCACGTCCCATCAGCAAGGTATGGTGGGACTTGCCCCACATTGGGAATATGGAGTTCTGATGTGGGGTTTATGTTTTCCGGTTGTTCCTTTTCAGGTGTGGTTCTCCTAGGATGCAATACGAGAATTAATTGCATCCATCTTTAAAATTAAAATTGATGACAAATTGAAGGAATGCCACGAGGTGAATTTCCAGTTTCTTCTGTAATTTGAGAACTGGAGAGTGACACAGAAGCTTGGCAACGTCAAAATTGATCAAACAGAGTTCCTAACGAGGAAAATTTAGGAAGGGAGGAGGGGAAGGACTAACCGGTCGCGAACTGGGGTTGAAGAGGTAATTATTAGAAGCGATCTCAAATGAATCCATGACGACGATGTTGACGAGGACGACGACGGAGAGGATAACGGTGTCGACGGTGAACAAGCCAAACAAGCATCCGATCGCAGGAGGGCTTTCATCTGTACAGCTTCCCTCTTTTTCTCTGTGATACCAAATTTCACCCAAATTGAGTAGACAAGATAATCGAGGAAGGAGAGTAAACCGCGGGAAGGACTTCTCTACCTTCGGCCGGAGATGACAGAGGGCACAGCCACGGCGACTACGGCCGTAACTGCCACTGCCACCGTAGCATCCACATTCCACCTTCTCCCTCTCACCCAGATCCCCACCCCATCACCACCAGGAAGCAAACACCACAGCCGATCTTCTGATTCCCCCAGTTCCGCCCACACATGGATCAAAGAGCGCTTCCCGACCTCTCCCCCCACCGATCCCCACCGAAGAATGGCACGAAACCTCGCTCCCCCTGCGCATCTAATGGCGCGCCGACGGCGGGGAGGACGGCATCCCTCGTCACGCCTGATGCCGCGTAGGGAGAGGGACGGGAGACCGAGCCCCTCTGAGGTCGGCCATGGCCCGCTTCCTCACACATGAGTAGGAAGGGAGGAGAGAGGGGGGGGCAAAAGAAAAAGGTTATCCCGGGGACCACCAAAACCAGATGACTTTCCCGTGTGGACCATGAGCCCAGACTCCAATGAATTTCACTAAAAACCCAGTACTAGTCATAAATCATTTCCTACCCCTTTGACCGACACTTCATCTTGCCTAATTACCCTTCAAGGAATATCTCCCCCCCCCCCCCCCTGACGGTTGTCGCCGACATCCGACACCTCACGCTCAGTAGTACTCTTAACGTTGCTCTAAGAGCTGTTATTGTCTACGAAACTAATCCCCCCCCCCCATCCCAACTAATAATTTAAAATATAGTAATTAAGAAATTGAACGTTCCAGATATCATCCTTCTCCGGACGCCTACTAACCCTTTGCCGGGCACGGCCCGCCTTCCATATATACCTATCCGAGAGAGAGAGAGACGTGAGGACTATTGAACTTGGTAGATATCTTACTGGGCCCAAATCTAAAGGGTGCCCAAACACTTGATCCCTCTCTCTCCCTCTCCCTCTCCCTCTCCCTCTCCCTCTCCCTCTCCCTCTCTCTCACCCTCTCTCTCCCTCTCTCTCTCCTTCTCTCTTCTCTCCCTCTCTCTCCCCCTCTCTCTCCCCCTCTCTCTTCTCTCCCTCTCTCTCCCCCTCTCTCCCCCTCTCTCTTCTCTCCCTCTCTCTCCCTCTCTCTCTCTCCCTCTCCCTCTCCCTCTCTCTCTCTCTCTCTCTCTCTCTCTCTCTCTCTCTCTCTCTCTCTCCCTCTCTCTCTCTCTCTCTCTCTCTCTCTCTCTCTCTCTCTCTCTCTCTCTCTCTCTCTCTCCCCCCCTCCCTCTCTCCCTCTCTCTCTCTCTCTCTTTCTCTCTCCCCCTCCCTCTCTCCCTCTCTCTCTTCCGCTGAGGCAGGTGTACTCGGAGGCGGGCCCGGGACTTTGGGGCTCTGACTTAGTTCAGGGCCTTGGGTGACTCCTTGAACGATAGTTTGGGGATCACGATGTGAAGGGCGTGTTGACTATCGGGGGATCTATTACCGTTGACCTAGATTCGCCTGTATTAACAATGAGAGTGGGAAGCGTGAGTCGGTGGCATGGTGGGACCCTTCGTCAAATCTCTCATGCTGAACTACTCGTGGGTGGTATAAATTGTCAACGATGCCAGGTCATACCCTTTTGACTCTGACGTCCAACTCAACATTGACTGAGTAGCCGAGGGAGCTGACGAATTCAAAGCTCTGCCCACGATGCGAAACCACGCGCCACGTACGCCCAAATGACTGTAGTTAAAAGTCATTACTAACCGATATTCTAGAAGTTACCGGAAATGGTAGGTTTAGAGTTGCACGTGAGTCGTTGCCGGTCAGGGAGAAGCCACCTTCAGTTCATCTCTAGAAATAAACTGCTCCAGAAAAAGAAGCGATAACAAATATTTAAATATATATTAAAAATTAAAACTATTTGTTAGCCGGACGAGATGACTCCAGAACGCATACCACGGGAGACGAAGAATTTGACTATGGCTGGAAGAGGGAAATGGCGCCGCTCTGGCTTGGTGGCGGGAGAGAGGAATTCCTCCTCGTCCGCCGCCGGCGCTCCGCCGAGGCTCGCCGCCGGATCGTGCCGTCGCTGCCGTGTATGCCCGCCGCTGTTGGGTCCTTCCTCTTCGCCGCCTCCTTCTCGATCCCTTCTGGTTGCGTAGGAGTTCCTCGGGAGTGGATCTCCCTGGCTCTAAGTTAAACTAGGCGAGAAGGAACGGCGATGAATATTCTCGGCGACGTCACTGCGGAAAGCGGAGTAGACGGGGAGGAAGAGGAGCCGTCTTCTTCCCCCCCATGCGAGAGATCCTTCTACAGCCTCATAGGAGCTGGAAAATGGTGAAATTACTGCGGTGAAACTTACAGACGGTGGGAGACGTGCCAAGGGTAGAGAAGGTCGTTTACATAGGGGTATTTGGGGTATTTCATGTTTACCGGACCCACCATAATGGGAAATCGATTTCCTCGTGTTATTGGGCCGAAAGACCTATTTTCCTAGAGCCCATTTTCTTTGGCCCAGAACCAGGCCATGGGTCCTGTTCTGTTCTGTTCTGTTCTGTTCCACGTGTTGCCGCCATTTGCAGGTTGATAGGATCTCCGGGAGGAGCGGACGCCTTCCGTTCCTCGGTGGACGACGGCGACGGCGTCCTCTTCCCCCGCTTACCCTCTTCGGTGGCTCTCCACAACCTGTCAAAAATCCCAGCCCTTCCCTCTTCTCCCCCTTCAACCAGGAGGACAACGGCGACATGGCCGGAGCGGCGGCGGGACACGACGGCGGCCCCTGCACAGCACAGACGGCCCGCTAAGGAGAGACACCGCGAGGACGAAAGCCGTCGTCTCCGCAAGGCTCCGGGAGGCGGGGACGACGGCGGGGGCGGTGGCGGTGGCTGTTGCTGTTTTTCCCCTGCGATGGCCGGCGGTACGCGTCCGTCGATTCCCGAGGTCACCGCCGCCGCCCTCTCCTGCACGCTCTTCCTCTTCTCCCTCGCCGCCATCTCCTTCATCCTCCATTTCCACCTCCGCGCTTCCCGCGGCGAGGGCCCCCGGCCGCGGCGGCGCCTCCGGGACCTCAACTCACTGTGGGCTGTCCGGATCCTGCTGGCGGTCTTCGCCTGCCTCTGGTCGATGGCGGAGCTCCTCCGCCTCCGCTTCCTCCTACCCAACTGGCTCCACCTCGACCTCTGCAGGGGCCACGTACTCGCGTCGCAGGGCTTCGCGGAGCCGTGCTTCTTCACCACGCTCCTCTTCCTCCTCCGGACCTCCGTCCAGGGGAAGATCTGCTACCCCAACGCCTTCGCCATGGCGCTGGTCCTGGCCCTGCTCTCCTCCCTCCCTTTCCTCCTTCTCCACTCCCTCTTCCTCTCCCTCTCCCCCTGGGTCTTCTCCCCCCTCGGCATCCCCCCGGAGGTCTTCTTCGGGCAGGGCACCACCAACTTCTCCCACGGCGGCCGCTGCTCCTACCCGCTGTTCAGCACGGCGCTCCTCGCATGGTTCGGCGCCGCCTACGTCCCCTGGTTCGTGTCGGCGTGCTGGCGGGCGGCGGAGGTGGTGATCAACAAGCGCCTGGGGGTGCGGCTCTACGCCCTGACGTCGACGGTGGTACTGGGGATCTGCGTGCAGGTGGTGGCGCTCGCACTCTCCGCCTTCTGGAGCCCCGGGACGGCGGTGTTCCAGGGTCTGCGGCTCGCCGCCTTCCTCGGCGTCTTCTCCTCCGCACTCGTAGGGGAATGGGTGCTCGTCCTCTGCCCCATCGCCGACGCCCTCGACGCCGTCGGGTGGAGGGCTCCCGTCGCAACGGCCGGCCCACCCGCCGCAACAGGTTCCCACGCTGGTGGCGCCGCCGGCTGCCTTGAAGACACCTGACGGCAGGGAGGCTGCGATGATGTTGCGACCGGTGGTTTGTTCTTCTCGTCCATTTTTTTTTAATTATTCTCTTGAATGTTCTACAAGAAAATTATTCAAGCGTACTTCTGGATCATTTAACTGTTTTGTTTATATAAAAAGGTAAATACTAGAGAGAACCTCAGTTGTTAGTCGTTAGATGATATGAATATCTTGCTCCTTTGTATTCGTATGATCAACATGAATTAGTATAACCCTAAGAACACCATTGAGAATGAACTGGTACAAAAAAAAGAAGAGAAAAGTTAAAGAATATGGGTAATAAATAAATAAATAAAAACATGGCCTAATATCTCGATAAGAACATCTCAAGAGAGTTATAGAAGCTACCTTGTGTTCTGGGGTCCACCATATGGCATAGTTGTTCAAGTCCTCCTATTCCTTCCCATTCTTGTGAGATTTTCATTAGTGTTTTTTAAGTGAAGGGAAAAAATTAAAAAAATTTCATCAAATCTTTTTCTTTTTTCATATTTTATCACCTATAAAAACAAGATTTTCATTGAAAGGCTTTTAAAGTTTTTACTTTGTATAGAAAAGCTTATTGATCAATAATTACTTGTAAATTCGAAAGCCATTTGAACCTCCTTTACATGTGTTAATTAATTCTCAGCTTAATATGTGATTCTATAGTGATGGGTTTGCTAACATTAAAGACATGTCATACTCCATTTAGCTTCATAAAAAAATGTGAAAAATATTACGTTGACTTATCACCTCCTCTCTTTCTCTTCATTGATGATTAGGAGCTTGGTTGGAAGAGGAGAGAGGAATATCTATCATAGGAGGATCAAACCTAAAAAAGAGCTCCACATAGGTGACCATTGAATAATCTACATTGATCCACTTTTAGATCGACATAATTGCCATGTTGATCGAGTATATTGGGCTCCCCACATACTCATTGTCTAGATTGAGGGGGTGAGATAAGTCCCCCTAAGAAGCCAGTGGGAATGCACATAAGCTTCTAGCCAAATTTACTTTTATGAGAAATATTTTTACATAAAAATTAAATTTTAGAAAAATAAAATTTTCTCACTAAACATAATTTGGTGAACACTGTGATATTTTGAGATTATCCATCTGCCTTATATATGCTTAATCATTTTACCTTTTTCCATGTCCTTAAATACTAATTTAGACTCTAAACTAAATGATAATGTGACAACTATCAATTGATATAAGGCTGCACTTAAATCAAGAGAGGGGGATTGAATTGATTTAGAATTCTCATCAAAACAAGTAAATCATGGAGTACACATTCCTTATTGAAATATTTATCATAATTTTTAATTTATGTCAAGTCTCTTAAGATAGATAAGCATTCTTCAAACAAGGGAATATAATATGCAAGACTTTTGCTCTAAATACATTATCTAGATAATAAAATTGATGCACTTAGAACATATACATGAGATACTTTAATCCATGTCAATATGGAAGCCATCAAAATTTTCTCAAAATAATACTTCAGTTTTTGAAAGAACTTGTCCTTATTTTTATCTTTTTCTATAGGCTCTCATCAACTTTGTATCCTGAAAATTATTCTTAGCCACTTACTTTCCTAATTTCCATTTTTTCCAACTTATCCCTAATATACATAGACTAATTTTACTAATTCCTCCCCTTGCCCACTTGCTCAAATGTTTCATATCTTGTATTTACCACCATTTGACTTCATCTTTCTTGATAACCAGATCCATATTTTCTGCCCATCCACAATTATTTTCTCTATGCAGTTCAATTTTGTTTTCACATATTTCACATATGCAACTTGTAGAATTTGTGCTGTGGTCATCAAGAATTTTTTTTATCTTGAGCATATTCAAAATTTGGTGTTCTATGGTTAGAGTGACAGAAATTGATAGATGTGGACTGTCTAGACCTATTTTCGAAGTTAAAAATAGGTGCAAAAAATACTGAAATTCATAGGCCTTGTGTATGACAACACCATCAATATGCTCTGCATAGGCTGAAGAGATTCTATTCAACTGTCACAGGCAAAGAAAGGTTTTGAGAGATAGAAATATTATTCTAAACTTCACTCATGTCCCCCTCAATAGGTACTAGAATATCTTCACCATCTAAATTTTTCCCATTGAGGTTGGCTAAGAATTGAACTCCCACCCACCCCCCAACTTATATGTGTGCTCTTCATCATTACTATCAAAGTCTATTTCTATAAAGTAATTATTAAAAAAAATTAATTTCTTCTTCAATATCTCCTAAATCAGCTAGTTTTTTCTTACCTAAAGTATGCTTTCTTCATTTCTGCCCTTACTCCCTTTTATTTCAATTTGAATGATTTTTTCATGATTTGCTTTTGCTTCTTCATCTAAAAGGTTTCCTCCTCATCATCCTCACTATATCTATTCATTGATCATGGGCAATAAATGATTTCACTCAAAGTTTCTACTATTATCTCCTCATCCTTAATATTCTCATTTTCTGCTAGTGGTTCCTCAATGTTTCTTCTAAAAGTTTGATATTTCGGTGCTACTATTTTTAAGCGGTAATAAGTTGCATTAGTGTTATCACCTTAAGGATTGATGACTGATTTTGATGATTAAACATCTCTAAAATTGATAAGGAAGAATCTCGATTGTTATACTATCCACTTGTTCATGCAGCCTATCTAGAGATTCTTGATTAACTTGTAATTGTTCTAACATAAATTGAAAGGATTGAGCCCATTCGACATCTTGCTGCATAGGCAATCTTACAAATGTATCTGAAGTAAGCTGACCGCTAGAGTGGAAATGATTTGATTCTATATTTTTTTAGGCTTGATATGTTTGAGGAATGGTACGATTGCTCCCAATGAGGTTAAAATGATCTCTCCAACCTATATCATATTGATTTGACAAAGAGTTACAGCTAGATTGAAAAGAAATTATGATATGTGCACTTTGGCTCATAAAAGCTCGAGGAAGATTGAAAGTATTAACATATTCATTGAAACTATTTGGGGAACTAAAAAATTTCAATATGAACATGAGCATGGTTACTTATTCAATAAGAGTTACTCATTGATTCTTACCTATGGGATTCTAAAATTTCATTAAATCATATAGTCTATTTTATCACTAGCTTCATCAAATTTGTCTCTAATTGGGTGGGAATTTTCATCAACATGATTATCATGATATATGTTTCCCATCTGATTATACTGATTTTCTCTCTAAGATTAGACATTTGATTGCAAGAGATGTAATAATGTAATGAATATTGGGACTGTTTAGCATGCTTGTACTATCTATTTCTAGCCAAAAATGGAGAGCACTAGGAATTTTCGTTTGGACCTTTGGAGCTGTTTCTACTAGCTCTTAGTTGCAAAGGTTTCTACTATACATGCACCACAACTAAGTTTTTCTTTTTAAGAGACTAATGTCAAATAAGAAAAATTCTAGAGTAATAAAACAAAGTTCAAAAGAAAAATAAGTGAGTAGGCATACATTTTTTATAATCAATATGATTGAAATCATACTTGACACAAATGAAATAAAAAAGAGAAATTAGCATATATCACCCTATAGCTACCTGCCATTGAAATCCAATCATGTGGCTCATGTCACTTCACTTCCTCTCATGCTATTTTCTTGGAAAAGACAAAAAAAGAAAGATCAAGTAAACTCTAACAAAGCAATAGAATAGAGAATGACACTTCATTGAACAAATCATCTCTATCAGTGATTTCAAAATTTGATCACATTTTAGTCATTAATTAAAACATATTAAATTTAATATTTATATTGAACTTAAAATCTGAAAATTAGCTTTGAAATGCTAATGAGTTCAGGTCAATCCTCAAAAATGACTGTGAAATCTAATACCAAAATTCTGTTCTCAAATACTCATTTTCAATCAAAAGGAAAAAAAAGAAATATGCGACTTGATAGAGTGAGCAAAAGTTAAACAAAAGATAAAGAAATTTAGTCTTTCAATGTCAAGTGTGTCACCCACTTATTGTCGAATAACTAAGACACAAACAAAATGAAATGAACACCAAAAAATGGTTGAAGAGTTTTCCTTTATTGATGGAATCAAATAAAACAGTGAAAATTAGCCCTATTCTGATTCTTGTGTCACTTAAAAATTTAAAGAGGGATGGTGCAGTAAATTAAAGGAAAAAAGTAATGAATAATACTAAATCTCCTTTTACTCCATGTGTCACCCAAAACTTAAAGATGAAGAATGGGTGCTCACTTAAATCACTAAAATATGTACATAAAATTATAGTAAAAATCATAATCTACAGCATTCACCCATTCCCGTCGCCGCTGTGAATGCTGCAGTCACTGTTGCCACTGTCAAGCTCAGCTCCCCTGCCTGTCACACAGGAGGAGAACTTGCAGCTGTCGTCACCAATCGCTGTTGTCACTGCATCATTGCCATCCACTGTCTACGGCTGCCGTGAACTCTGCAGCTCCTGTCGCCTCATCGTCTCCACCTGTCACACAGAGAGGGGCCGGCTGGTGCTCCCATGTCCTAGCTCTCAAGGTCCCCCCTTTTCTCTCTCCTTCTCTCTTCTCTTTTATGCCCCGTATCATATTGGGCTGGTTATTGGGCCTCATATTTTGGTCCCATATCACATACAATGTAAATTCATCATACATATTAAAAGATTCTAGCTTCTCAAGCAGTGTTTCTCAAGGATATATCATGGAAATCATGTTAGAGTATAAGTTTAAAGATCAAGTAAAATTTATTGACATCAACAAGCATAGTTATTGAAAACTCATGAGATATGTTAAAAATATAATTTGAAAATTTTCTTAAACATAGTTACATTTGACATTAGTAATACTAATTTTCTTAAATTTGACCCTACTTATTGTCTAAAAATGATGCATTAACATGTATGTTCTCTACTTATTATCCATTCAAAATCCTCAGTATTTGTGAGTGAATTATATTTTCTAAATCTCTTAGATCTTCAACATTTATTTTTTCTCGTGATAAAG